AGCCTGGGCACCTAGAGCCCGTGCTCTGCAACGGGAGAAGCCGCTGCAATGAGAAGCCCGTGCACCGCAATGAAGAGTAGCCCCTGCTCGCCGCAACTAGAGAAAGCCCGCGTGCAGCAACGAAGACCCAACGTGGCCAAAAAATAAATTAATTAAATTAAAAAAAAAAAAAAAGAAAGGTGAGCCGAACAGAAGCCCCAATCTCACATGACAAGTACCTCCCAGTCACAAGAATCAGGTTTCAAAGGTTCCACGGGGTAGCAACAGGCTGGGAAATCGATCTCTCTTCCAATTTACAACATGCTTCTTAAGGACTCTGTGCTTGTTTCATTTTTAAAAATAGAGTTCTGGGACTTCCCTGGTGGCGCAGTGTTTAAGAATCCACCTGCCAATGCCGGGGACATGGGTTCGAGTCCTGGTCCGGAAAGATCCCACATGCTGCAGAGCAACTAAGCCCGTGTGCCACAACTACTGAGCCTGTGCTCTAGAGCCCGCGAGCCACGACTACTGAAGCCCACGCACCTAGAGCCTGTGCTCTGCAACAAGAGAAGCCACCGCAATGAGAAGCCCGCACACCGCAACAAAGAGTAGCCCCCGCTCACTGCAACTAGAGAAAAGCCCGCATGCAGCAACGAAGACCCAATGCAGCCAAAGATAAAAAATAAATAAAATAAATTTATAAAAGAAAAATAGAGTTCAAACCCTCCTACACTGTTAGTGGGAATGTAAATTGGTACAACCGCTATGGAGAACAGTATGGAGGTTCCTTAAAAAACGAAAAATAGAGCTACCATATGATCCAGCAATCCCACTCCTGGGCATATACCCTGAGAACACCATACTTTGAAAATATACATGCACCCCAATGTTCACTGAAGCACTATTTACAATAGCCAGGGCGTGGAAGCAACCTAAATGTCCATTGACAGAGGAACGGATAAAGAAGATGTGGCACATATATACAATGGAATATTAGCCATAAAAAAGAAGAAAATAATGCCATTTGCAGCAACATGGACGGACCTAGAAACGATCATACTAAGTGAAGTAAGTCAGACAAAGACAAATATGTGATATCATGCATACGTGGAATCTAATTTTAAAAAATGATACAAACGAACATATCTACAAAACAGAAACAGACTCACAGATTTCGAAAACAAACTTACAGTTACCAAAGGGGAACGGTGGGGGGAGGGATAAATTAGGAGTTTGGGATTAACATACACACACTACTATATATAAAACAGATAACCAACAAGCACCTACTGTATAGCACAGGGAACTCTTCTACTCAGTATTCTGTAATAACCTATATGGGTAAAGAATCTGAAAAAGTGAATATGTGTATTACTGAATCACTTTGCTGTACACCTGAAACTAACACATTATAAATCAATTATGCTCCAATAAAATAAATAGTTCCTTTAAAAAAAACAGAGTTCGAACGTGTAATGTTTAGAAAGGTGCCAACGTTTACACAGAGTGTTACAATAAATTAAAAAAAAAACCCGCATTGGGCTTCCCTGGTGGCGCAGTGGTTGAGAGTCCGCCTGCCGATGCGGAGGACACGGGTTTGTGCCCCGGTCCGGGAGGATCCCACATGCCACGGAGCCGCTGGGCCCGTGAGCCATGGCCGCTGAGCCTGCGCGTCCGGAGCCTGTGCTCCGCAACGGGAGAGGCCACAGAAGTGAGAGGCCCGCGTACCGCAAAAAAAACAAAACAAAAACAAACCGCATTGCTATGTCATCATTCCAACACCAAAAGCGAATATATCTTTTTCCCAGCACAACTAGGATGGCAAATAAATAGTAAGGACTGCGCCGGTGAAAATGGAGTCTGGTTCATGTTTCCCAACTTAGATAGACAGGCTCCCCGCTCAGGTCAACCATTATTTCAAAGGTTAGAAGCTGAGTCTGATAAAACACTGCCCACGCGAAATGAAAATGAAGACATAATATAATTACTTTAAATTCAATAGTTCTCCTCCTTGGGTTTCTCACCTGTTCCAGCTCAGCATCTGAATAATAAATACAATGAATACTGAACAGATTTCGCATGTGTTGATAATTTAAAGGAACCAATTCTCACCTAAGTGAAACAAACTGCTGGAAATTTTTCAGTTTCTGTGACTTATTAGGGCCAAAAAAATATGTATTGACATGTCTTCTCCTTTATCAAGTCGTCAGGAAATGTCAAATAGAGAACTTTAAGATTGACTGGTTCTAAGGAACAGCAAACACTGAATACAGATTCGCTCCTAGCACACTTGCTTTTCCGTAAAAGCCACATGCACATCTGCATTCCCAGGGGATGCGCTGAAAAACACAAGAAATCCACATGTCACATTCGGGATGCTTTTTATTTGCCATCTGTCCTTCTGTAACACATTCCCTTAGTGATAGAAAAAGAGCAAGAAGTAGGTTGATGTACCTCATTACAGAACTCCTTTTCCATTATGTACTTATATTTATTTACATTAAAAAAACAATTCAGAAAGAATCCAGAAAGTTCAACGAATGTCTACAGCCTTTGGTTCTGGAAAATGAAACAAAAACAGTATTCTAAGAAATGTTGGTTTCACGTCCACATTCCAGATCTACTTATCTCGTTCAACAGATCACCAGGTAAAGTGGATGAAGTTCTACATTTGAATACAGCCAACACCTTCAGAATCCCCATCCCCGTACTTCTATGAGAAAGTGTCACAAAGGGCCCAGCAGTGCGTTCCCCGTGAGTGTGTCTGAGGCCCGGGCCGGTGGCTACAGGTCAGGGCTCCAGGGAAGGCAGGCAATTGGCTCTGGCAGTGACGCCGCAAGCCCCCGATCCCGGCCTCGACCTGCCTGTCTGATGCTGGCCCTCTGAACCCCACGGACGTCTCCATGCTAAGCAATGGGGAGAGGACACAAGCCCCATCGGTGACCTCGGCCCAGAGTCAACTCTCCCCTCCCCTTCCCAGGCCTCAGCTGGAGGAGGGGGAATTCTGTGGTTTTACTGACCTTTGGCTGTCTGTTCACTGTTGCGTGTTCCCTTCTGAAGCTCCTTGTTTCGGCTAACAGGGTGTCCTGGATTATAAAAATCGAGGCTACGACTAAGACTCTTTCGAGAGCCTACATGGGAGTTAAGAAGGGAAGTACATTAAGACTTTTTAGGATTGAAAGTCCAGGAGAATCCAGCTTCACTCGCACTGTTCCGTGGAAACCTCAATAGCAACAAAATGTTAGGATCCGTTACTCAGTACTTAGGTGCTCTGAGTGAGACAACAAATTTCATTCTCTTATAGGACCAAAGATTACATTCTCTAGTATAGACTGACCTTTCCACACCGAAGTGCCTATCTGATATTATTTGGGAGGAGGCCAATTAATTACAGAAACATATTTTCCATAATTTGTCAGCGTGATCTGACTTAAACTCCTTTAAGTTTTCAGTCAGGTTAAACATATCCGTATATTTTCTTGTATCCACTAGAAGTTTCACGGAAGCCCTCTTATAGATAGGTTTTTATCCAGAATGAACATATTTATTAGGGCTAAGAAACGATGGCATCTGACTGGGAGTTCTACGTCAAAGCCAAGAGGAGGGGTGGGGGACTATAAGGTCACAGGAGAGTGTTTGGAGGGGGTCAGTGAGAAAGAGGACAATGACAGGGACACGATGACAGCGTCCAACAGAGCAGACAACACCCCCTCCCAAGGAGCAATCCCCCTTCCTTACTCAGAGCGTCTCAATCTCATTCAGCGTAATATGCCTACGTAGCTAAATATTTTCCTTCCCAGACTCACACACAGCTGGGGGCGCCATGCGACAGAAGGCTAGCCAGTGGAGGAAAGCCGAGCATCTCGGGGAAAGCTTTGCCTTCCCGACACGGACACTGCGCCTTGTCATTTGCCTCTTCCTCCCTCTTTCTGCTTAGAAAGCAGATACCGGACCTGGCGGTTCAGTGAGCATCTTGTGACTACAAGGCAGTGACCCAAAGGAGAAAGGGTAAGGATGGTAGGAAAAAACTACCAAAGACTGTGAGTCGTCGACAATACTACGGAGACAGACAGTCCTGAGTGCCCACCTCCAGGTTTCTTATGCAGCTCTTCGTTGTGTGTTCCGTTTTCTATTACCTGCAGCCAAATGCACACCTGACACATCAATATCCAATGATGAGAATGAAAAGGATGAGGTTGACTCGGTGAAAAGGGAAGAACAAAGACGAAAGTGAACGGGCAAGGGGGATCAGTCTTACAGAGATCACCCAGTGGACCTAAGAAACACAACTTCCTTCCCACGGACAAGACAGAAGTCCTGACTAAAAGAATAAATGTATCATAACGTTCAGTTCAAAGACACCCAGTGCTCAAATTGGCTGTCTCGAATTTTACTCTGTCCTTCTGCGCTTTGATTGTTAATATGAAAGTACATGCTTACACTTTAAAGCTGAATGTTTTGCACTCTACAGAGAAGAGAATGGAACAGATTTAGAATCAACTTAGCATTTCTCTTGCAACCCATTTGGAGGAGTTCCCACAGAGAACTCGTCTGCCTCACCCTCTCGGCAGCCACATTTAATAGGATCTGAGAGGAAAAAAAAGTAGTAACACTGGGTAGCCTGTTTTGACTCTTGTATATGCTATTTGGAAATTCAGCCACTACGGCAAGCTGGCAGAATATAGGACATGGCCCTTGGAAAGCGCTAGACTGATCAATATTTAAGAATGCACAGGCAACAGCAACAAATAAATGCAGCAAATGCGATAGGGATGCAAATCAATGAGGGGTATGTATACCCTCAAAATAAGCACGAATCCCTTTTCGTGGCAGGAAACAGTGCAGCACTAAATGCTCGACAGTTCATCGCGCAGTCCCAAGATGCTGGTCTTGCACAGAGAAATGATTTCTTCATACTCAACATGGCAGGTGACCCAATGTTGGTTCAGAAAGCAATGGATAAGCAAAATAACAGGCTGAATACAGGAGCTAGCAACGGCTGGTCACGAGTGAACCCACTAGCATACTTGCAGCTTTCACTACGTTCACATTTAATTTTTCTTTTCCAACAAAGTAAGTGCAAATATCTTTAATCTGATTCAGTAACATAACAGCCAAACCTCAGGAACCAATAAATAAGGACGCTGACACGCCAATACCCCTTGGCCTTTCAGACTCAAAGCTTCACCAACACCAGCCTTCAACAGGAGGGGCAAATGTTTCTTGACTCAGCAATTGTGTTCCATGTCCTTGTACAAACCGTATCATTTACACCCACCCACGGGCCCCCACAGTAGTTACTAAACTCATAACACAGCCTGAAACTCATAAGGGGTTAAAGCTATAAAATGCCTACTCGCCAATGTATTTTTTCTAAGTTTCATTCTTCTTCCCTTCCTTTTAAACAAAGCTTTTGTTTCCGCTGCCCCCAGTGCATGACCGTTCATTAGGATGACATATCGTTTGTTTATTTCTTTTCAAATGACACAGTTGTATTTTTCTCAAAGAAACTGCCATCTTGTTTCTAATTAAACATGATGGATTCAGGGTCCTGGTTTGCCATCTGGGCCATATGTCTCAGAACATCCTTTTTCGTGATGATGCCAAGAAGTCTCCTGGAGAAGAAACAAAATAGAGAAAAGAGGTCAGCCTCGCAATACCGACTCATGCCTGTCCCTAATCCCCAGCGCCCTTTCCACCCGGGCACACGGAGAGACATTTCCCAGCCTCCCTTGCGGATGGGTGGGTCTAACTGAGTGAGCTCTGGCCAATGGCGTGTGGGTGGAGGTGAGAGATACCCCTCCCGAGTCTCCTGCACATTTCCTCTCTCCTCATCTGCCAGCCCAAGACAGAGGAGCCAGTGAAGGACTCTGAGGTCACAGAGGACTGAATCAGGAGTCACCAGATTCAAAGACCTGGGTTCTGGAATGGCTGTGTGGTGCAAAGCCCACATCTGCTGCAACTCACACTGGATGTGAGTGACGTGGGAGAAAAATTAACCTTTATTGTGTTCGGCCACTGAGATTGCAGGCTTGTTTATTACAGCAGTAAGCCTATGATGACTAATATGCTCCCCTAAATTCCAAGACTATAATCAATTAAAAAGGGCTTACAGAAGCCATTGTCAAAACGTGACCACACCGCAGAAATTCCAAGCGTGGGGCATTTTAAGCATAAGAAATTTTAAGTATAAGATAACAATTGGTTCTATTTTTATTTATTTATTTAATTTTTTGCAGTACGCGGGCCTCACACTGCTGTGGCCTCTCCCGCTGTGGAGCACAGGCTCCACACGCGCAGGCTCAGCGGCCATGGCTCACGGGCCCAGCCGCTCCGCGGCACGCGGGATCCTCCCGGACCGGGGCACGAACCCGCGTCCCCTGCATCGGCAGGCGGACTCTCAACCACTGCACCACCAGGGAAGCCCGGTTCTATTTTTAAATCTATCTTACTGGAAGGGTAAAGTTTCATCTATGCCCATATATGTAAATTACCTGCTCTTTCATAATTCCATGGTTTTCAACTTATAAAAACGATGCCACTTCTCAGGGATCCTGGTATAGAGACACCTATACTGTATACTGCCCAACTCCAGGGAGCACCACTGACAAACTCGACAACGTAAACAGTGCCCCTGGATCATGCCTCACTCTCGATTTTATTAAGTACTTAAATAACCACCTGCTGGGGTCAAATCATGCCCCCTGGGGAAAGTGAAAGGTTTGAAAGAAGGGGATGTTTGCAAGTTCTTCAGAGAAAAGAAGTTCCATTGCCAAATTAGTTTGCAAAACGCTGCTCACCATGTCTCCATCATCCCCAGGAAGAGGAGAATAGAGAAGTAAAGGACGGCAGTCTCACCCTGGAATACTGTACGGCTATTGAAATGACAGGTTTCTACTCTGTATCTGGGTAAAATGATGATACACCAAAAAAATCAGAAAACACAACTGTAATACACTGTCATTTATTTAATTGAAGCCAAACTATGAAACTCATCTCTTACTAACAGGAAGTGAACATGAAGAGGGGCCGCAAGTACCTGGAGCAGTACTCCAGTCAGTGACAGCTGGTGAAAGGGACACTGGTTAGTGAAACTGTCAGCTAGAATTCTCACTTCCTTGTCCCTGACCACACTGGACCTTAACCTTGAAAAAGCGATCGATTTCTTGTGTTAGAAATTTCTTGTGTGCCCCCATCTATCACACCGGGGGAGACAGCAGATACTACCTCTGCCCCTCCATCTTATAGGAACATCTTCAGGTGATAGGAAAATAGCAAAAAGGGCCTTTAAAAGCATGCTAAACAAAAAGAATAATGACAATACAGATGACAAAACACTGAAAGAAAGCACCATGACTAACATGATAATCAAAAAAAAAAAAAAGATGGGGAAAAAATGTAGCAAGCACAAAAGAATTAGAAAATCAACATTTTGCAACCCCCAATGTAATCATTAGTTTAGCCAATAATTATCGATGGATTCCAAAACCATCAGGTAAATGGTTGCTGGAAAACAGAAAATTCACATGGTCTCAAAGTATCCCTCCACAGATTACGTACAAAGAGAAAAATGTCCCCTTACTACAGAGGGCTCTGGCCATCCCCACCTCATCCCAGTGATGGAGCTTATCACCAACAAAGTCAGAAAAGCTGACATTATGACATCATCTACACTGGAACACTGCCCGAAACTCGAAACTACTTAAACCAAATCAAACCATGAGGAAGCAATCAATCAAATTCAGAATGTGGGACTACTGGTCTGGATTCTTAAAAAAAAAAAAAAAAATCTATGTCATAAATATCAAACAAAAAAGGCAGGGAGCCGTTCTAGATAAAAAACAAAAGAGAAAAAACAACCAAATGCGATGTCTGAACCTTGAAGGAACTCTGGATTGAAATTTGATATGAACTAGGTATTGAGTGACATATTGAGTTACCATTAATTTTGTGTAATTATGGCTCAGTGGTTATGTAAAAGAATGTCCTTAGTCTTAGAAGATGTATGTGTCATACATAATTGGCAAAACTTGGAAGCAACCAAGATGTCCTTCAGTAGGTGAGTGAATATACAAACTGGTCCATCCAGACAATGGAATATTACTCGGCTCTAAAAAGAAATGAGCCATCAGGCCAGGAAAAGGTGTGGAGGAGCCATCTGAGAAGGCTACACACTGTGTGATTCCAACTCTAAGACATTCTGGAAAAGGCAAAATGATGGAGACAGTAAGAGGATCAGTGGTTGCCAGGAGGTGAGGGGAGGGAGGGATGAAAAGGCAGAGCACAGAGGACTCTAAGGGCTGTGAAACTATTCCTGATGATACTACAATGGTGGATACATGTCATTATACATTTGTCCAAACCCACAGGACGTACAACACCAAGAGCGAATCCTAATGTAAACAATGGATCGTAGTTAATAATAACATCTCAATACTGGCTCATCAACGGCAACAAATATAACACACAAATGTAAGACTTGACAGTAAGGGCAACAGAGAGAGGACCAGAGAGGGAACTCTGTACATTCTGCTCAATTATGCTGTAAGCCTTAAACTGCTTGAAAAATAAAGTCTATTAATTCAAGAACACAAAATTCTTAGGGGGAAGAAAGCGGTTGCCTGAAAGGGGGTGGGTGGTGAAGGAGGACAGAGCCAGGAATTGTTCCTTCCAGCTGTTTAGAGCTACTTGACTTTAACAGTGCTCATAGATCACTTCAAACACATTTCTAAAATTTATAAAAATACAGTAAAATCAAAGATGCCCCATAAAACAAGATGCTATTATACTAAACCTGCCAAGCTGAGTCTGTGTCCTGACAGAGTTAGCTTGGTCTGCTGTAACAAGGCACCATACACTAGGTAGGTGGCTTAACAACAGAAATGTATGTTCTCCCAGTTCTGGAGGCTGGAAGGCCAAGATCAAGGTGCTGGCAGGTTTGGTTTCTCCAGAGTCCTCTCTCCTGGGCTTGCAGACACCACCCTTTTGCTGTGTCCTCACATGGCCTTTTTCTCTGTGCAAGCATCCCTGGTGTCTCCTCTTTTTCTTCCTTTTTTTTTTGCGGTACGCGGGCCTCTCGCTGTTGCGGCCTCTCCCGCTGCGGAGCACAGGCTCCGGACACGCAGGCTCAGTGGCCATGGCTCACGGGCCCAGCCACTCCGCGGCATGTGGGACCTTCCCAGACCGGGGCATGAACCCGTGTCCCCTGCATCGGCAGGCGGACTCTCAACCACTGCACCACCAGGGAAGCCCCTCCTCTTCTTTTAAGGACACCAGTCCTATCAGATTAGGGCCCCACTTTTATGACCTCATTTAACCTTAACTATCTCCTTAAAGACCCCATCTCCAAAGACAGTCATGTTGGAGGCTGGAGCTTCAACATATGAATTCGGGGATGGGGCGGGGGGCACACAGTTCAGTCCATAACGGTCCTTCAACTCCCTTTAAAATCAAAAAGGAATAGTTAGAAGGCAAGCAGCTTACGCTTGTAATACACCACTAAGAAAGCTGCGATCATCAGAGAAGTGGCAGCACGTGAAAAGGTGAAGCACCTTCTCATCCGCGGTGGGAGGAGTTCCGTGGCTGGCGGCCACCAACTGGCAGACACTCCCTCAGCTTAAAAGGCTCTTTTGTTCTTGCGGACATTTCTTTTCTACTTGAAAGCCTGGCTGAGGACACTGCCCTCCAGAACACCTGGGGAACACCACTCAAATTGGATGACGTCCATGTTCCTTGGTAGATGACAAGCTCCTTGATTTTTTTTTTTAAAGCCTCTTTGAGCTTCCTCCAGTTCTCCCCTCACATAGACGCTCAGTAAGATGCTGATGAAACCAATGCCGCTTTGAGAAAAAACGACTTGTTAACACACACAGACACCCTCCCATATCTATAAAGCCTGGGTTTTGTTCCCTTACAGTCATCCTGGACATAATAGCAAAAGGTCAGGCACATGCAGTCCTGACAACCCCGTCTTAAAGCTTGGTAACTATGTCTGAAAGTCAAGCTGGTTATAATGGCTCTGGGGAAACATGAATTCAGGAGCTGCCTTGGGTTCTGGCATAAATTGTGCCTGGCCTGCGACAATAAGTATCAGAAAAGAAGAAAGTTGAACATCCTCCCAAAAGGAGGCAGCATTAAATCCAGCGGGGTTTGTTAGTGGTATGAGATGTCCTACTTGATATAAATCAAGTGTTTAAACTTCCAGCCCCTTTGGGTAGCAGTTCAAGTGAACCTGTGGAATGATAAACAGTCCATCTATGACCATGAACATAATTCACAGTAGAGCAGCTGGGCTCCTGTGAGAAGGCCACGCCCCAAGGCCCACCTAGCAGGGCTTGGTGGAAGCTGACACCATCTCCCCTGCTCGCTTTTTCTTTCTAGATCCTCTGTGGAGAAAATCCCAAATTCACTCTTGGCCACTGGAGGCTTCCTAGACTCTGGCCTTAGGGAGACAAAGACTTCCCTGGCTCCTGGTCTGCTTTTAGGATCACCTGGGAGCCCAGGCCCTGAGAAATCCTGCAGACAACGCGAGTCAAGGGTACGAGCTCAAGTGCTCGGCCTAGAGCAGGGAAGGCACATGGCGACGGAATACATCAAAAACGCGAGCCTGCCCTGGCTCAAAGCCCGAGAGGATGAAAGGCCCCGCAAACAAGGATCTCTTGCCAGCACTAATGTATCAGCATCTGTGTTTGTTTAAAATACGTAGAGCGAGAGAGAGGGTGCGATTGTTTTCTCGCAGAACATTCGGAGCCAATTTCGACACCCAGCTCTTCACAGGAAAACCTCACGGGGCTCCGTGAGGTGTGAGCGGGCGTTGAGGGCAGCATTTCCTGCCAGAACTGGAGATTCCAATGATAACTGACATTGGATTATTATTTTAAAGGAAAAGAGAAACTGCTATACACTTGAGACGACACGGCTGATCACGGTGGTATTTCTGCCGAGCGCTGGAAATTCAGGTTCATCGGTGGGCTTCAGCAGTTTGCAAAGTGGGGACCCCAACCAGCAGCAACCTCCGGGAGCTGGTTAGAAATACACATTCTCGGGCCCCCTCCCAGGTCGGAGGGGTCAGTAGCTGCAGGGGGGCCCGGCACTCTGGGTTTAACCTAGAGGTTTACTCCTCCGGGGGATTCTGACGCCTGCTCAAGTTTGAGGACCACTGACTTCCTTTAAAAACCACCAGCAGAGGGCTTCCCTGGTGGCGCAGTGGTTGAGAGTCCGCCTGCCGATGCAGGGGACACGGGTTCGTGCCCCGGTCCGGGAAGATCCCACATGCCGTGGAGTGGCTGGGCCCATGAGCCATGGCCGCTGAGCCTGTGCGTCCAGAGCCTGTGCTCCGCAACGGGAGAGGTCACAGCAGTGAGAGGCCTGTATACCGCAAAAAAAAAAAAAAAAAAACCACCAGCAGAAATGACCTCTAGTCTCAAACACTTATTTATTTGTTCCTTATTGATTGCCCCTCTCCATGTGCAAGACACACCCCAGCTGCAGTCAGAGCTAAGAAGGACACTCGTCCCATCGGCCGAGATTTCTCTGGGTCAAATGCAAATTCAGCTCCTTGCAGAGCCATGAGCAGGGCGGCAGGAGGAAAGCCTGGCACCGATGTCTCCACAGCCCACACCCCACCTCCCAGCCCCCAGCCCATAAAGGAATCAACTGGGCAGAGAATCCTAGGTTCCGCGCTACCTGGACCCAGCCAATCTCTCGCTCCACCCAAGCTTCTGAGGCCCTGGAATTTAGGGAGAGCCCCTGAGCCCAAGCACAGCCCACGGAGCACTGCACCTCTTACATCATCACGAACCTTTGCTCTCTGCAGTGCTGGTTTCCTGGTTCTTGATAACACAGAGCGAAAGCAATATGGCTGCGGCGGAGACGATGCCATGGGCCACCAAATCTCTCGGCTCTGCGATAACGTTTGAACACGTGAAGTTGTTTCGAACCGACCGATGTATTAGGGAGTAATTTGAGCATACTGTGAACCTCACGTTTGCTTATGGGTGATTTCATCCACAGGAAAGTCCAGGAGGACAGAGAAAGATGCCCCGGCCAGGAGCACCCAGGGGCATGGGAATACTCAGCCGCAGCCCTCGCGATGCCCGCTTCCACAAGCCAACTGCGGGGCTTTCTCAAGGTGAAGGGACAATAAACGGCCTTTTTGATACACTTCTCAACCATTTAATGTGTGTAAATGTCTGACCGCTTTTATGAGATTGCCATCTCTGTTTTTTTTGATCTGTCACTGACGAAGTGTTCGAGCATCGTGCGCCTAACCCTATTTTTCTCATCAGCCCTGAGATCCTTGTTGCTCGTTTCTGCAGAGCACCGTGATGTGGAGGAAAGTGTCGTCACATCGCAACGTCACAGCAGGACAGACCGAACCTTCTCCCAGAGCCAGGACCACTGCGGGTGGCGGGGGAGCCACAGCCCCTCCCCGTGGGCTTCTCCCCTCGGACTCCACCTTCAACCTCAGGGCAGAGACAGGAGCCCCACCTGGAAGCCTGAGTCCCAAGCTCGCTGGCAATTCCTCCTCCTGGGCTCACCTACGGACATCTCTTCCGAGCACTGCCACCCACCCCCCTGCCCCGGTCCCTGCCACTCCCCCAAGGGCTGAGCCCGCGTCCCCTTCATCTTGTTCCCCCCAGGGTCCCGCCACTCACCCGCTCCGCGTCACCAGGCACTGGCGGAGCCCCAGCTTCCGGAAGATGTCCACCACCGTCTCCATGGGGGTGTGGTCCGTGACGGTGAAAGGGCTGAGGTTCAGGACGCGCCGCAGCTTCAGGGGCTGCGGGCTGTTGGCTGGCAGCTCAGGGGGCTCCTCGGTGAAGTACATGACCGAGTCGCTCACGATGCCCTCCTGCCTCTGTCTGGCGTTCTCTGCAATGGGCGAGCAGGACGGTGAGCCTCACGAGACTCCCTTGCGGAGTCCCTTCCCCCACCCCATCCCACCCCATCCCACAGCAACACGCGACTTCCCTCCCCCAGCAGCCTAGAATCCCACAGAGGAGGGGCGCGGAAGGCAGACTCTACATTCTTAACGAGGAGCTTCAGCCAAACATCTGTGAAACTGGCATCTCTCTCTCTCAAGCTAATGCTGCGCGAGACCCCCCTGCTGTGACCTGATCATTCACTGCCAAAGTCTTGCAACGCGGGCCTGACCAGGCTACTTCCTTTAGCGAATGCACTGCTTCTGCCTGGAGGCCAGGGCACCCAGCTGGCCCAGGGCCTGCCACCCTTGCTTTCCTGACACACCTTCACCTCATCAGGGGCTGAGGTTTGACGTGAAAAGAAACCTCACTTAGCTGCCCAATGACCTTAATACATGGTTTGCTTTTTTTTTTTTTTTTTTTTTTTAACAAACTAACGTATAACTGGCCCAGATGGAATTATAAATCCTGAAAGGAACAAGAAACCAAGAGGACCATCCTAGGCTCACAGCCCAGAAACGCAGTTCAGTCTAACTATGACCCTTGGGACCAAAGAAATAACCCTAGAAAAGCTGCATTCCCCCCACCCCTTGGATCGCCTCTCTTAAATATGGGCCATTTGGTGGATTTCTCAAAGAAAGATAGTAAAACTGTTATGGTAACAATTAGCCTATTTCTATCTGTAGGCGGGCCCACGTGAAAGAAAGCTGAAGAAAAGTAGGGTAACAGGAACTCATTAGAAATACAGCTTTATGCCGTACTAGAAACCTAGGCTATTTTAAGTCACACATGAAATAAATCCATCGGTCTCAAGATATTTCTCCAAGGCGATTTTCCTTCTGTTGGAATTTTAATCTTTCTTTTGCTTCATGGGAAAAGGTTAGGGAAAATGTACAGCAAGGCTTGCCTTAAAATGGATCCTGCTTTCTATAATACTTTTTTTTTTTTTGCCTTCTCAAAGACTACTATTCACCTATATTGTTCTTTGAAAAATAAAATTCTAACTGCTGGCTCTAAAGCTATTTATTACAACAGAGTACTCTAATGGAAAACTGGCAGCATTCGGGGTCAGACTGAGTTTGAAAAAGGGTCTCTGTTTAAAAGGGGAACAGAGGGCCCGCTGGGCAAATGCCTGCACAGTATGTGGGTCAGGTTCAATCGAGTTACATCAGATGGAGTACAATTCAACCACAAATACCAGATGACACTGATGCACAACATGCTTTCAGCCGTAGGTGCCACACAGTACACACTGTGCATTTCTCTCCTAAATCGAGATGGCTCTGTCCTGAAATGCTAAGGTGGGCGGCAAACAGTCAACACACACTTATCGCCCATTTTCATAGACCGACTGATTCTCTAAAAGTCCCATGTAACAGGAATCCCATCTATTTCAACAATCCAGTTGAACATCAGGATTGGATCAAGCCACAAAACCCAATCAAGAACTGATCACATGGATTTGCTGAGCCCCCTCATAAAACCAACTACAACCTAGCCAACTGTCAATTCACTTGGTGAAATGAATAACAAGCTTCTATTGCCTCTGAATCTACCGATTGAGTTAGAAGCCCTGATGCGAACAGCACCTAGCTCCGTGAATTCTTGATCAGCACTGCAATCCCAGTGCCTGCACAATGCCGAGAATACAGCAGGCACAAAACAGGTATTTGCCAAGTGCACACATGCGTCAGTCACAACAAGTGGATGAACGAGTGGGTAGGTCTACTGAACGTCGGTGTCCTTGGCTCTGCCTGTCATGTAGAACAGAACCTATCTCACAAAGGAGGCATTAGGAAGGAAAGCCCTGACCTATCCACTGCCAAACAAGAATCAAAGGCAACAGCTGGGGTCAGAGCCGGAGAGCTGAGCAGCGCTCCTTGGTACTCCAAGAGTAGCAGCTGTGGCTCTCTCCAGAAGGGCTCTCTGTGAGGCCACTTTGGAGCTCTATTATAAAGACCTATCTTAAAGCCTTGACTGAACTTTGGGCATGGAGGTACGACGCACAGCCAAAAGCTGGTGAATGGAAGAATCAGCAAGAAAGCTCTCCTCATCTCTCTACTGGGGGAACCATCTACTCCCACTTTGGACAAGAAATCATCTGTCACCAAAATGCCTGCAACAAACTCCAGCATGAAAGTTCACAGAGGGCAGAGCCTGGCTGCTGTCATCGCTGTGCTCCCAGCTCCCGGGACAGCACCAGCACATGGTGGATGCTACACGAAATATTTCCTGTACGAAAGGGTAAACCAAGCCCTCACCCAGCACATGATCCAGTGCTATGAGAGTATAGGCTCCCAGACCCCAGGGACTCATGGGAACCTGTGTTAGAAAAGAAGCCAAAAAAAAAAAAAAAAAGATAGCCCAACATTACATGTGTAAAAGGCCTAAAAGATAAGAAAAGCGCTAAATATTAACCAGAGCCTTCTACGGTGTTGAAAATGTGGGCACCTTGTTAATTTTCCCTTTGCTTCTGATTTCCCCAACATTCTGAGTATTACTTTTACTTTAAAAAATGTAATAAACTTCATTTTTGTTGTAAAGATCGTTTTTGTTACGTCTAAACTTTTGTTAGCCCCTAGACTTTTTAAAATTGTTGTTAGTATTGGTGGTCTGCTGTTCTATTCTACCACAACTACTATCAGTGGCTGCGGCTCCTGAAAAATGATGCACCTTTTACGAGCGCCTGTTAAGGTCATTCAACCTGACATTCCACTTGCTAGCAGCAGTAAGATCATAATGCCAGGTGCAGGGAGGGTAATGAGGAAAGTGCTGATAAAGTGAATTCCACAAACTATGATAGGCCAAGAAATTTTAAAAGACTGGAAATAATCACATATCCAGTAAGTGATTACAATGGCTTTAGAGCAATGGTTCTCAACTGGGAGTAATTCTGCCTCCACCCTCAGGGGACATTTGGCAATATCCGGAGACATTTTGGGGTCTCATAACTGGGGGGATGGGGTTGCTACTGGCCTCTAGTGGGTAGAGACCAGAGATGATCCCACAGTGCACACGACAGCCTCTATCAACAAAGAATGATCCAGCCCCAATGTTAATGGCTTTAAGGTTGAGAAACTCTAATCATGTTTTTAGGGAGATAATACGCTATCATCCTGTTCGTTAAAAATGCTTCCATAGGGACTTCCCTGGTGGCGCAGTGGTTAAGAATCTACCTGCCAATGCAGGGTACACGGGTTCGAGCCCTGGTCCGGGAACATCCCACATGCCGTGGAGCAACTGAGCCCGTGCACCACACAGCTGAGCCTGCGCTCTAGAGCCCGCGAGCCACAACTACTGAGCCCACGTGCCACAACTACTGAGCCTGCGTGCCTAGAGCCCGTGCTCCACAACGAGAGAAACCACCTCAATGAGAAGCCAGTGCACCGCAACAAAGAGCAGCCCCCTCTCATTGCAACCAGAGAAAGCCCGCATGCAGCAACGAAGACCCAACACAGCCAAAAATAAATTAATTAAAAAAAAAAAATAAGAAAAAAATGCTTCCATAGATAAACAACACGGTCCTACTGTATAGCACAGGGAACTATATTCAATATCCTGTGATAAACCATAACGGAAAAGAATATAAAAAAGTATGAATATATCTATAGGCATAACTGAATCACTTTGCTGTACAGCAGAAATTAACACAACATTGTAAATCCACTCTACTTCAGTAAAAAAGTCAAAATAAAAAAAATCTTTTTTAATTTTAAAAAAGTTTAGGCAGATGCCAGACATCAAAGGTTAAAAACATGCTTCCATAAAACAGACATAATTGACAAGAAAGGTTAAAATGGAAAATTAGAAGCAACTATAGTGGTGGTCAGTACAAAGGTGATGTGGTAAAAAAGTAAAAACTATTTAGAAGAAAAGGCAGATGATTTTCTGACAAGTTATAGTTTATAAGGCATGCAGAAGTCCCTCTGCATGTATTTTTTCATCCCCAGCAGAAAGAAGCAGATGCCACCACTGTTCTCCACGGCCTATTCCCATCATTAACAAACAGCTCTCCCAGGAAGAAACCTTTTTATCCCTAAAGAACCCGTCCAACAGATCTGACACGCATCTTGTTGTTCAGTTCTGGACATGGATCCCTTTCTGCAAGTGGGCCTCTTCCACATGCTGGAGAATCACCATCAAATCATCCACCAGGCGAAAAAAATGAGAGTTCCCTTAACTCTGGCCCATGACTCTAACTTTCCATCCCTTTAATCATCTTTGCGGCTTCCCACGGAGTCCTTTCTGGATCCAGCCTCACTTAACTGTGGAACTCAAGACTAGAGGAGCCTGAGCCTGCTGAGCACAGAAAGAGCCTCGTGTTTGCAGAGAGCACCAAGAGGTAAAGTCCCATCTACCAGGAACTTGAACAAGGGCCACATATGGCCTTACGTGTGAGTACGTGACGGTGAAAGGGCCACGTTTCCAAGGTGCTGTGACTAATGGCTCTCCAGCAAAGACAACAGCTATGGTTTGGCATTCCAGAGACAGACTGAAAATAAGACATTTTCAGCTTCACGGGAGCAACTGATACCTTTTTAAACATGACACGTGAGAAAAAAATCTTTGCCTCATTTACTACTTTTTTCTTATCTTGGATCTATGTAAAATCTCTGCTCCTCAGTCCCCTGAAAGGGAAATTGGCATGGGATCGTTACTAGCTAAATGCTTACGTCCTATTTCTATATTCGCAAAAGGGCGTCTAAGTCTGCAAATACAGGTAATGAATTTCTCCACTGGAGTACAGGACTTTTCTGTATCCACGGAGCAGGAAAACAGCTTTTCAAACTGCTCACAGCCAAACACTCCTTGCTTTCCTGCAAACCATGTAAATGGCAGCTTCCACACTCTTATCGGTCTGATGGAAAGCATAAAGGTATTATTTACACCCCGTGTTGCCTCTTCAGACATTCCAAACATAGCTTCTAGGAGGGCACTGGGTTGGCAAGCTTAAATTTCTTCTCTAACAGGCTGATGACAATTACTGTTTCCCACTTGATTACAGTAATGGGTTTCAGCAAAATTAGTAAGCTCTCTCTTAGCAGGAGTGCCTGGAGCTACACAATAGGTAATGGATTCCGTGACATTTATTACTAGAGTGTTTAAATTTCAACCTTTGCTTAAAAGATTTTAAGGATTGAATAAATTTTTAAAGCCTGCTGATTACATTAATTTAAAACAAACCCAACCGTACTATACAGCTTTTTAAAAAAAAAATCTCATTATTTATAAGGCAATGGTCATGCCTAAAGGCACCTACCTGTTAAGCAACAGGACGTATAATAAAGAGAAGCATCATGGAGCACTTGAAGCACAAATGTACTTTCATGTCTAAAACATAAAATCAACTGTTGCTTTGGGGGAGGGAAATATGTTTGAGCAACAAGCTAAAATTAGAGGCTATATAGCTCATTTAAACTTATTTTTATAAAGCCTTTGATGAAGATACTTTAAAAACATTTTACAAGCTACTTAACATAGCGAAGGGGTTTTAGAAATTCAAAGGGAGAGCCTAAGAAATAGTTAACAAAGGGCAGGGATAAGCTAAGGTGTGTTCCCGGTGGGGCGTTCTACCATCATACCTGAAAAAGTCCCCCTGGCAAACTTCACAAATGTCGTGGAAGTACAGTCATCAAGGGCACACGTGAGCCATGTCGTGGGCCCCGGTGTACCGTGAGATGCAGGGGTGCTGAGCCGGCGCGCATTAGTGTTTACCATGCGCCGCGGATGCGCTCTGCGGCTCCCTGCCCCCGCTGCATCAGGAAGTCCGGAGGGAACACCCTGGGGGAGCCCCGCTAAGGCCTGCTGCCCCTCCCTCCTGGGCCTCCAAAGACTCACACCAGGCCTCTGCCTGTGGAATCCTCCTACGTCCGGCTCCCCTTCCAAGGCGCTCATCCCTGGGCCACCGGGAGCCCCGGGCTTCTCTGAGCCGCCCGTGTCGGGAACATACAGCTGGGCATCATCCCCTCTCTGCTCTCCCAACTCAACAGCCTGCCCCTCAGCCCAGCTGATCCAGTTAGCGCACGAGGAGGAAAAGCATCCCACGGAACTGACTGCACCCACGTGGGTCTCTAACTGATGGCACCGGACATCGTGGCGAAGTGACGGGCTTGAGCGGCGCCGAGGGAGGCGTCTGAGGCAAAGGGCTCAGCATCTGAGCCGGTTAGCCTGCCTGGAAGTCTGTCTCTGCGAGCAGCTGGCCCGGCCAGCCCAAGCTCTCCCACCGCTTCCTGCTGAGCTTCGCCCAGCAAGTCCCTAAAAGGCGGAGCGCGTGTGTCCTAGCGGGAGCGGCCCAGGGGGCTGCTTGCAAATGTGGTGCTCGGTGTCCAGCCAAGAATGCCTCCGACAAGACACTGTCCCTCACGGTGTGACTTGGGGGCAGCAGCAGCAGCATTGAGAGGGAGCTCGGGAGAAATGCAGTGTCTCGGGTCCCACCCCAGACCTACGGCATTCTGGCCAGACGCCCAGGTGAAACGGAATAAGCATTAAAGCGTGAGAGACCCTGGGCTGAAGCCCTCCGACCCTCGTGCACTCTGTCGAACCTCTTTGAGAATGTCGGGGCACAGAGCTGCTATTCGTCTCCGTGAAACGTGAGCCTCCCTGCTTTACTCACTTATGGCAGGAATCAGCTCCCTCCTCTGGGCGAACCCGATGAGGCGCTCCGAGTCCCTGGAGACGACCACGGGGAAGCCGTTGTAGTCGGTCTCCTTGATGAGCGTCTCCACGTCCTCGACGGTCATGCTGCCCTGGGTGAGCACGGACAGCGGCGGCTCCCCCCGCCTTGGCCGCATGACGTCGGTGGCCAACGTGCGGTGGGTGAACTCGTCCTTCACGTCCAGGAACGGGTACCCATTTAAGTGGATGTGGGCCTCGTAGATGCCTTCCTTCCCAAAGGCATCAGCCACCCACTTGCTGGTCACGGCTGCTGCCATCAGGGGCACGATGTACTCGAGACCACCCGTCAATTCAAACATGATAACCACCAATGACACCGTCATCCTGGTAACTCCACCTGCAACCAAAGGGAGGAATGAAATTGCAGGACTCGACTCCACACCCACAAGAAGACATGAACTGTGGAAACCGAGAAGCTGGCTCTACCCTCCCGGCACCTGTTCTACTGAGACAGTCCAACACGGCGCCCAGGCTCGGACCTCTGGGCCAGAGGCCAGACTCAGTAAACACAGCCTTGCATCAGGAGCCGTAAGTCACATCTCCCTGAGGGGCTCTTCTCCCATGAGGGACAGCAAGTTGTCTATTCACCCAGGACCACACGCCTTGCTTTTTGGTGAGTGGAGCCTACTTTGCAGGTTTCTGACTCAGCAAGCATCACTCTCTACCAGAACCCCTCGAGCTGGAAAATTGCAGAGACTATCCACTATTGTAGATGGTACAGCTGCAAGATGGTGGAGACCCCATCAGCCTGGGTCCCTGGATGACTGAGCAGAGAAAAGCCCTCTGCTACTCACATTACACACACACACACACACACACACACACACACACACGCGCGCGCGCACACACACACACGGTACCTAGGCAGGCGGCAGCTCCCACCATGGCATAGAGCCCTGGGGTGACGCAGTCTGCTCCGGGCCTGCACCAATTCCTAAAGATGATCCAGTCGTGGTGATGGTAAGCCAGTTGCTCCACGCCAATTCCCACCATCCTGCCTGCCATGGCCCCCACAGCCATGCTGGGGATGAAGAGACCGGACGGGATCTGCGGGGAGCGCAGGGGAAAGAGGCATGAGGGAAGGGGGCCCCGTTCCCGCCGCCCCGCCGCCGGAAAACTCAGGCCCCCCTCGACGAGCTTGCATTTTGCTTCGGTCTTCAAAGGAGGGGCAACGCTTCAAAACATGGGTCACCTGGGAAACCATGGGACCAGTGATTTCACCTGCTTGGTCGTATCTACTGTGACCTGGAGAAAATGCAATTTTACACTTTCATTTCCTCGCCTTCAAAAGCTGGCCTAGTTTGTCTGCTGTGGATAAAAGAATGATAAGCCCCACTGCAAATAACATTCAAACTGCACATCTGTCACTTGAGATACTCACCACTTTCTCTCTCCCCTCACGTGCCATTCAGATTAGCTTTTAAAATTAAATGTCAAGCCACAGCATGAAAATGGAAAAGCAAGGCCTCAACTGTTCACAGGTCAAAGAAAGAAGCTAAAAGCATCAGTGTAGCTGCCCTGCATCTTCCAAAAACCTTGGCACGGGCTTACTGCCCTCTTGTATGTACAGTGGCCAAACACCTGTCAGAGAGAGATGGGGGGCAGGTCCGTCTTCCTAACAAAGTCCATTTTCCGAAAAGTATTCTGAATATTTTCAAGCCAGGCTAAATGCAGCAAAGAAACAGACCATGGAAACTGAAAGACCTTGGTAATAGCGTATTTTATATTTTGCTGTATGAAAAACATGTTCATTTCTCTAGTGATCAGACATGTGCTACAGAACAGACTTGACTCTGTTTGTGGAGACTGCATGTGACCGCCGATCCTGACCGGGAGCTGCATTTATGTCACCCCTACCCCACCCCCCCCCCCCCACTGTCCTCCACCCTAGGATGCAAGTGGATCTTTACCCAAATTCAAGTTAAGTTTGGATTCTCGGGTGTGATTTCCAGAGTGTGAGACATTCCTGAGGAAATTGTTCCTTTCTCAGCACCCCTTATCCCCCCATCATTTAATCCCCTGTACCTTCAAAGCAGGCTTCTCCCAGCAGGCACCAGAAGAAAATAAATCCCTTTGCATCAGAGACAGTCACCTGTTTAATAACGTTCATCCTTCCTTGTTCTTAAGGCAAAAATTCAGGTTTGTGTTTGACCACTGCACCCAAGTGCACAGCTTCTCAGACTTTTTTTAATATTTATTTTTATTTATTTATTTATTTATTTTGGCTGTGTCGGGTCTCAGTTGCGGTACGCAGGATCTTTCGTTGCTGCGCGCAGGCTTCTCTCTAGTTGTGGCATGGGGGCTCCAGATCGCGTGGGCTCTGTAGTCTGTGGCAGGTGGGCTTAGTTGCCCCTCGGCATGTGGAATCTTAGTTACCACTAGAGATTGAACCCATGTCGCCTGCATTGGAAGGCGGATTCTCAACCACTGGACCACCAGGGAAGTCCCTAGACTTTTGTTTTTTTTAATTCGTAAGAATACCACAAAAAGCAACAGTCATGGAATACAAGGGGGTTCTGGGGGGTTCCCAGTGTTCTGCTCCTGGCCCTGGGTGCTGGTCACACAAGTGTGTACGTTTTGTGAGAATTCACCAAGCTGTACATGTCTCCATATGAATGATATACTCCAAGCCTTAGCTTCTTCACTTGTAAAATGGGGTTATAAATCTCTATTCCATAGGCTTGCTGTTTATCAAAAGCGTTGTTTCTTGTTGATTAAAAGAATGTCAAGTGCCCTGCGCATGAGAACGTTCAGTAAAGGTCACCTCCCCTTTTCCCCTCGTCACAATCTTATTCTGGGGACTAGGGTGCTATCCCCAGAAGGATAGAGGTTGCCTCCCTCCCCTGACACCTTCCCTCCCCTTCACTTACCTTCATGCCAAAGGTAAATATGGTAATGACGATTTTGAAGATCAGCGCCAGGGCCAGCTGCCACATGGCCGTGTAAACCCCGACCCCGGCCGGGCGGTCGGGGATGTCGTCCACGGGTCGCGTCATGTTGGGGTCATTGATGTAGTCACAGAGCTGGGAGGACTCGAGGGCCCCGCAGTCATTGAAGAGCTCGGATATGAGCTCGCTCGTGCTGCGGCGCGTGTAGGGGTTGGGGTAGGCGACGATGGCCGTGATGGCGGTCACCGCGATGACCTCCAGCACCGGGTACTTCCCCAGCTTGGTGGTTTTGCGCCTCCTGCACCAGGCGATGTTGCAGCGGATGAAGAGGGTTCCCCACAAGCCCCCGAAGACCCCAAGCAGGATGAAGGGGAAGAGCTCGGCCATGTACCAGGGCGTGTGATACTCCACGTAGAAGAGGACGAGGCGGCTGTTCCCAAAGGGATTGATGGATCGCAGCGTGAAGGCTGCCACCAGGGCCGCAAAAAAGGACCGCCACAAGGTCTTTAAGGGAAAGTAGTAGCTGACCTGCGACCAACGAACAGGTGGAAAATCAGAGACTGGCGGAAGAAAGAGCTGCCCAGAGCCCCAGCCCCTGATCAGCAGCCACCTGCTGGCATAGGCCACAAAGTCACACTCAAGACCAAAGATGGGCACTTCCTCAACCTAGGTGTGAGTATGGCCCAAATGCACTAACAACGATATTTAAAGGACTCTATGTCTAAAATTGGAACGGATACTAGTCAAGGTGTGTTTGAGCTATTTTTTAAGAGAAATGAGAACACTTCATCATAATTCTGTTTATGGCACAGAGACCATCCTAAAAGAAAAGAAACCTCTGATTTGATTCTCCAGACAACAGATCATGGGTTGAAACCCCTGGCCCAGCAAACGTATCTGGAGGGCACATGAGTTAAGAACGGTTTGTACATTTTTAAATGGGTGGGGGAAGAGAGAATTATTTTGTGACATGTGAAATATTCAAAAGAACAAGACTTAGTGACAAGTGGTAATGATATAAAATCCAAACTTCAGCATCCATAGGGAAGGTCTTGTTGGAAGGCAGCCATGCCACGCACGCGCGTGTTGTCTACGGCGCCTTCCACGCTACAAGGGCAGAGCCCAGTGGTTGCGACCGAGCCCTGAGACCCACAAAGCCTAAAATATTTGCTACCTGGCCCTTTACAGACAACGTGGGCCAACTGCTGGACTAGATCCATTTGCGTTGCAAAACATAAAAATGCTTCATTGTGTTGTTTATGAAAACGAGAGAGGAGACTGCAAATCTCCCCCAGAAATCACACTGGCAAGTTTTCAACAGGACTCGAAAACACGTATTTCATGGCGAACACTGCGGCTCCTTAATGAGCTGCAGGAATCTCTCAATCCTCCTTCGCATCTAGTCCTCAGAGGGCTAGAGAGGGAAGCCTCCTGCCGCCCCGACCCCCCATGTGTTCCTCGGCGCTCAGAACCACGGGGCCCTCCAGAGCCCACGCTCACCTCTTCCAGACTGAAAAGCACACCCCCGATCGGAGCACCAAAGGCGACAGAGACCCCAGCAGCGGCCGCAGCTGACAGCACCTGCGAAGGAAAGAGCTCCCCGTCAGCCCGAGGCCTTTCCGGCAAATCAGCGGGTACTGGTGAGCCCGGAGAGGGTGGGAGGGCGCTTCATCCTGCACCTGCTCACCTCGCGCCTCTTGCCCTCGTTCTTGCTGTACTTGGAGAAGAGGCTGCTGAAGAAGTTGCCACAGCAGCATGCCACGTGCACCAGCGGCCCTTCCTTGCCAAGGCTCAGGCCCGAGGACACCACCAGCACCAGGGTGACAGTCTTGATCAGCAGGGTCCACTTGCCCAAGTAGCCCCTGATGATGAAGCCACTCAAGATGGTCTTTATCTGAAACACAGGATGGAGAACGATAGGGAGTGAGCCGCTTCAGCGCCACGGCTAGGAAAGTAACCTCTCCCTCCTCTGAGAAGCATCTTTCAAACTGAGATTCACTAATCATATGGAGGACAGGCTGCTTTAGTTGTTAATTTAGCTATAATTTTATATTGAGAATTTATATTAACGCCTAATTTTATATATTAATGGAACCCTGAGACAATTTCAATGCATAGTAAATCTTAATAATTCCGAGAGTAATGAGAGATCATAACGAGGACTGAGTAAGTAATTATCAGTCTCATTTTATTTATGGCATTTATCCTGTGCATTTTACCCTCTGTTGTGTTGAAAATTGATTTTAACTGTTCTGTATCTATTGATTTTAACTGTTAATTTTTCACTACTGAAAGATGGCCAAGATAAAGGGACATCTGGCTGGCTATGTGGCAAAGCAAATACAACAAAATATCAATTGAACTTTAGATCAGGGCCGGCAAACTATGGCCCATGGGCCAAATCCAGCCCACGGCCTGTTGTGTATGACACACGAGCTAAGAGGGCTTTTAATGTTTTTAAATGTAATATGTAAACAAGACTACCGGTCTTTTAGTGAGAATAGTTCCTCAATTTTGCCTCTTGACTCACAAAGCCCAAAATATTGACTCTCTGCCCTTTATCGGAAAAGTCTGCCAACCCCTGATGCAGGCCAGGGGTATATGGGTGCTCAATTATTTTGACTTTCCTGTATGTTTGAAAATATTCTTAATACAATATTGGAAAAAGAAGATGCTCAACATTCTAATAACGCACCTCTGGGGGATGTAAGGGTATCTGAATCCACGGCAACCCCTTCCCTTCCGTTGAATCTTGCCCCCTGGTACTGAAAAGTACTTTGACTACAGGTGGAGCTGCCTCGTGCTCCACTTTCAGACCTGCAACTGTTTTGTAAATGCCAAATAATGGCTTTCTCCCTAAATGTGCACGTGAATTTGCATAATGCTTTTAGAATTCAACGGGGTGCCCATCTCAGTGATTAACTTCATCTACTGGAGTCCTCTTCCCCCAAAACAGGGTTCTTCTGGATACGGAAGCATCACCAATGGGTAAGAAACATTTTACCTTCAACCTCTCCTGCGACTGGCTGAAATGGAGTGAATGTTTACTGCCCAGCTAGCAATTTACAAGCCTGTAATCAGAGATTTATTAGACAGTGAGTGAGTCAGCTAATGAAATTCTTGGTCAGTATCCGTTTTCCCATTGTATAATACATAATGGGACAGTCTCAGCTCTTGTCACCATCAGGATGTTTACATAACGTCAAAGAGCCTCCTAGTGGGCGCCAAGAAATCAGTTTCTCAAATAGCTATTACTGTCCTCCACCGGCGCTCTGTGGCATCACCTGGAGAATTAGGCACCAGTGAGGACGAGTTATCCCCCCACCCCGAGATCTGATGTAACTCGTCTGAGGTGTATCCTGGGCATAGGAGGTTTACAGCCTCCCCAGGTGATTCTAAAATGCAGTCCAGTAGAGAAGCACTGCTCTCGTCCTGAGAAGAGCAGTACAGGTATTCCTAATTACTCAATATTTAAGGGAGGTCCTGAAACACTCTTTGGCATCATGTCACCTGTGATGATTTGGAGAGGGTCGTGAAGTGAACTAATCCTAGCAGTTTTACAGGGGTGCGACTGGACCATTTCCATCTCAGGAATTCTTGATAGAGATCTGTTTCTTAATTCAAGGAGGAAGACCAACAGTGAGTGAGCGTGTGGGCATCCGTTCTAAAGAACTCACTAAGATCCTTCCTAGAGAACACGAGTGAGGTCTTCCAGCTCTACAATCAGATGGTATTTCTTGAACTAGCCTTTAACTAAAGGCAGACAAACTAGCGGTGGTTAAACTGGTCTTTAACTAGTGCTAGTGGGCCTATTTGAGCCTGTGCTCTGGGGATCTCAGATCCCTTTATTTAAGGGACGTTTTAGTATGCCTGCCACAATCCTGCCCTTTTGTGTTGCCTAGAATAAAATTATCTATAATTTTTTGTCAGTTAGTTAATGTGGATTTGGACCCCAGGGTACAGTTGAAGAGCGTAATACCATTTAGAAAATTACAAGCATCTAAATTACCTGAGCCAGCCATGACATGTGGTGAATTGAACAATGTAAGAGGTATTTTGTAATTCTCTAAAATGACTTTATAAAATTGTCATGATCAAATTAGGGACTAAAGAAGGCAAATTCATTCCCAGTAGATGCCAAAATCCAATCGCTTGCTTTAATTTGGATCAACAGAGACTGAGTCAAGCAGGGCTTTAGGGCGATGTATTGCAGCACATTTGTGACTTGATGGTGGTAACTTTAAAACCTCTCTGGCAAATAAATATTTGTGAGAGAGTTCACATTGTATAGAACTGAAACATCAACTCAAAGTAAGTTCTAGGGGGGCATGATTACTTTTTTTTTTCTTTATTTTATTTATTTGGCTGCGTTGGGTCTTCGTTGCTGCGTGCGGGCTTTCTCTAGTTGCGGCAAGCGGGGGTTACTCTTTGTTGCGGTGCGCGGGCTTCTCATTGCTGTGGCTTCTCTTGTTGCGGAGCATGGGTTCTAGGCGCATGGGCTTCAGCAGTTGTGGCACGCGGGCTCAGTAGTTGTGGCTCGCGGGCTCTAGAGCACAGGCTCAGTAGTTGTGGTGCACGGGCTTAGCTGCTCCGCGGCATGTGGGATCTTCCCGGACCAGGGCTCGAACCCGTGTACCCTGCATTGGCAGGTAGATTCTTAACCACTGCACCAGCAGGCAAGTCCCTAGGAGGACATGATTTCTTATACGGTCCACAGTGGTTCTATGAATGAAGCAGATAGTAGTAGAGTCATCCTTGCCCAGTTCGCTCTAAGTTCTGAAGCCCAAGAACTAGTGTGCACTTTTAAATGTGCTTTGTAGAGCTAATACAAGAGCATTTATTACACAGAAAAGAAATGGTCTCTAAATTTGTATTTTTTTTAATGTTTCAAGGGAGTTTTTGACACTGGCTGGGACCTGGGACCCTTTGCTGCAGTGCTGCAATGCTTGCACCTGGACAAACACCTAGCAACAAAATACAAAGAAAGTATAAGGGACTAAAAGTAACTGCATGCATGCCCAGTTGGGGCAAATTCTGGACAACAAGGTACAAAGAGACCAAAAAGCCCCACTGCCACTTCTGAAGAGCCGGGAGCAAAAGCAGGGCACTGCGCATGCCCCCTGCACTCAACACCACCAAAGGGGTGGGCAGACCCCCTAAGCCTCCCCTCCGGCCGGACCCCTGGACACACCCCTCCCCTCACCGCATATCAGGAACCAGCTTGCCCTGCCCCCCAGCAAGTAGGCCAGCAAGGGCACCTGTACTTGTTCTCCCTCCCCGCCTGCTGCAGCTCGGGCCCCAATAAAGCCTTGCCTGAATTTCTTGCCTGGCCTCTGATCACTTTCTATTGATTAAGGAGGTCAAGAACCCTGGTCAGTAACACTGTCATCCAAAGTAGTCTAAATGTTTCAGAAGCAAACATTATAAAGGATGAGTGATTTTTTTTTTTTTTTTTGCAGTACGCAGGCCTCTCACTGCTGTGGCCTCTCCCATTGTGGAGCACAGGCTCCGGACGCGCAGGCTCAGCGGCCATGGCTCACGGGCCCAGCTGCTCCCCGGCATGTGGGATCTTCCCGGACCGGGACACGAACCCGCGTCCCCTGCATCGGCAGGCGGACTCTCAACCACTGCGCCACCAGGGAAGCCCGGATGAGTGATTTTTAAACTGTTCAGAAGTGCACTGCATTCAAAGTTTGTTCCGACACTGCCGATCACCTCCTACGATGGGAAGTTTATTTTCTAAAGATCTCATTTAGTATCTTTCCTGAAGTGAAGAATAGCCCTGTATCTCAAACTGAGTAGAGCTGTTTGCATGGTCCGTTGGGTTTTAACTGGAAGGACATCCTTTATATCCAGGAACTACTTATTTGCACTTACTTTTCACTCTGCCCCTCTCCTCCAAGAACTGGGGTAGGTATTGCACCCTTAGGTGAGGAATTTCAAGCTCTACTATAATAATAGGGAAAATTTTCTACTACTGAGTCATAATAACCAAAGCTTAATTATGAAATCTCCATTGGGCTCCTGGTACTTGAAAAGATTATTGTGAACTCTTTTATAAATAGAGACATGAACCTGTTACATATTATATACGGCTGAAAGCATGTTCATGTACCCACTACCAAGTTTAGGACAGAAGAGCAGGTACCTTTGAAAGCCCTGTTTGCTTCCTCAGTGGAACCTTCCTCCTCCCGCCTCCAATCATTCCCTTGCCTTTCTTTATAGCTTTAGCACATATGTATATCACTATACAGTATGCTTGTTTCATTTTGGCTGTTTTAGGGACTCTACATAAATAGATTCATACTTTATTTAGATATTCTTCTGCAACTTACTTTTTTCACTTGATACCGCTTTTATGAGTTTTATCCATGTCAGTGTGTTCCTTGTGCTTTGTCACACGGGAAACAATGCTCAACTCAGTAGTTTATTCCTTTTGAGTTCAGCTGTCACAAATAAAGATGCCCGCTTTGGACGAAGACCAGGTCCAGCCAGCCCCTCCCAGATAGAGTTCCCTGTCTGTCTAAGAGCTGAGCCACGCACCTCTGGTTCTTGGAAGGGGAAGATGGGATTGCCCCCACATCTTTTATTGCTGCTTTAAATTCCCCACCAGTTCCCCACTGGCCATCTCCTTATTTTGATAGGCGGCTGGAGTCCAAAAGCGCGTGCTGTTGGGCATTGCGATCAGAAACCGAGATGCCAACAGTAATCTGTTCTTTTTAGTGTCCCGGGTGCCTTCGGTCTTCGATATCCAATAAAACGCAGTCAGTTCTGCCTGAACACTTGTTTGGAAAACCCAAATTTGTTCCAGTGTGATTCATGCAGTCAGGGCAGAACTTGAGCATAATGCCAATTTCGCATCTGTTTCTGCACAATTTCATCTGGGAGAAACACAAGGCGGAAAACTGCAGCTGCGAATCCAGCCGTGCAGGGCTACACAAAATGCACACAGGCACACGTCTCAGACGACTCCCAGCTCACGCATGCACTAGGGGAGTATTCACACATTTCTTAACCATTTAACGTGTGTCTAACTCTGCTACTGCTTTTATGAGGTTCCCGTCTTTTTCATGTGTCACCAGTGAAGTTTCTGAGTGCTGTGCCCCTCGCCCCATCTTCCCCACAAGCTCTGTGGTTTTGATCATGCAGTTTTGTGATTTTTAGGAATGCATATGGTGCCTTAGAGCAGCAGTGGCTGTACCGAGGAAACAGGATGGTATTGCAGCTTATTTTTCAGGCTCCTGCAGCAACACGCTCATATAAACCATCCAAAGTTCAGCATGAAATAGTCTTTTTTTTTTTTAATCTTTTCCTGGATCAAGACAATGTTGAGCTTTCCTTTCGATGATCCTTTAATTACCCCAGCCCTTTGCATGAACTGCCCAGACCAGCGGCGGTGCTGGCGACACCACCAAAGAGTGTGGGTGCACTGCCATGACCGCTCACATCTTTATCAACTCGGCATCTCCACCGTCTATGGGCGCTGCTGAAGCACCGACTTGAAGGAGAATGGAACAGCAATGATTAGAATGATCATCTAAGTGCTTTTAAAATGATTTCTGGCTAAAAGTTTTACTATGTGGGCTTTTCGGGAATTTGCTCAAGCATCGTTATTCTAACCCAGCAGATCTCCTTGGTTTGAAGTTTGGTCTTGGGCATTCCTCCTGGTCGATGAGGTCACTTCCCTCATACTCTGGTTACAAGAAAGTGCTGAAAAATATTTATAAGAACTCTAAACTCACAAGGGTGCATTCACGGCGCATGTACTGAACGTGGAATTCATTTTTTAAAGATTGCTATTACCCTGTCACCAGAAGAGCAAAACGTGGCGAGGGAGTTTACTCATCAGTAAGCTTTCTGAGCAGTAAACCTCCACCGTTGTCCTCTTTCACGTTCCATCATAGACGCACTTATGAGTTACTAGAGTGCCACGTTTGTGTGTGTGGTTGATGGACTCTGACTCCACAGGCTTTAAGAGTTATGCCTGGTTTGTAAAGACAAGAATTTAAGCAGCTGAGAAGCAACAGAGCATAAAGCCAGACAGCTGGATTCGACTCCCAGCTCACCGGCTTAGTGACCTTGGGCAAGTTACTTAACCTCTCTGTGCTTCAGTTTCCCCAACCGTCAAATGAAGAATAACAGTACCTACCTCATAGGCTCCCTGTGAGGACTAAATGAGTGAACAGATGTCCAATGCTTGGAACCGTGCTTAGCACAGAAGTACCACGTAAACATTTGCTATTCTTATTATTGGCACAAAAGAAATTCATTCAGCCCACACTCACCTCGGGTATACCAGAGCCACAGGCGTATGGTGCAAATACTCGTACCAGGGAGACGGCCAAAAACGCAAACAGCAACGCCCACAGGATGTACATTAGGTAATTCAAAATGTAAGCGCTGGCACCCTAAACAAGACACAGAACAAGAAAGAACACGTGAGCCACCGCAGAACCGAGCGACGCACCTGCCCCTCCACCAGGCAGCTTCTCTCCGGGTCCTGTGTCAGCGAAGAGGCAGGGTTGGCTTTATCAGCTGCTGCTATTGCTACAGTCGGTTCACACACACAGCGCTGGCTGCTTCTTCGGGAGCTGTGTACACACACCTTCTACCAGGTGAGATCTCAGCAGTCATAGAAACTGTGAATGAGGCTTGGTTTTAATGGCTCCGGGCCCTCAAGTTAATGAAAGGTGTAAGAGAAAATTCTGCCTTCGAGCCCCGGGAAGGTTTGTTTGGTCTCGTGTATGGTGGATCAGCCTCTTTGCTTTCATGAAGGCCACATCCGTGCCGCAGCACGCAGCTGCCCTGCCAGTGAGGAAGTGTGGGAACTGCATTTCAGAATACTGCTACCCAGATGTGGTCCCTGGACCTGGGTGTGGGCTGGAAATGCAGAGTCTCAGGCCCCGCCCCAATAGTTCAAATTATCTGATGTGTGGGGAACATTTTCTGAACCAAACACACAGTCTGAGGTCTCTGAGGCTGAGGACCTGGTCTGTGGGCAGAGACCACAATTCTCCAGGCCTCAGCTTCTTGCCACCATCTGGATGCCGCACGTGATGGAGAGGGAAAGTGAGGGCACCTACAAGCCAGGCTGTGGGCACGGCTACACGTGTGCCTGTAAAATGCAAAAACATGCTCCACGAGATGGCTCTAGCCTTAACAATCACAGATATTCACACCCTATGTGGTGAGAAATCAGACAGAGAAATACATTTCACCTAGTGAAAAATGGACTTTTTTGAGACTAAAAATAACGTCTCACCCTTACTAACAGTAATTCTTTGAATCAAAGTATAAATCTTAGAAATGGCTGAAAAGCTAGACGGCCATATTTCCCCCCAAAATAGGAGAGAAGAAATCAAACATGGCGCCCAGCCAATTCTGCCTGCCCACCTCCATCAACTCAAGTAGAGAATTTATTTTTGTATTTTTGGAAGTAATGGAGAGCACTGAGAATGTGTGAGATTTCAAGATCCCGGTCTACTTCTGAGATTTGAAGGAATTAATTTTCAACTCCACTGAGAAAGAGGTTTAGCAAATGGCAAAGTGCATTCCAAATGTCTTCAGCTGCATTAAGTCAATCGGGCAAGAGAGCGGGAGAGGGAAGAGGAGAATAAAGGGATCACATCTATCTTCCAAGAACACTTCTAGCTTGAATGGTCCTCACATTGCCCCTAATGTGAATCGTTCCAACCTAACTCCCCCTCACCTGGGCTTCTGATCTGTCGATGACCCACAGTCATTGTGGTAACCACTGAATTCGGTTAGAAACTAACCCTTTTCCCCAGCTAAGATGTGTATGTGGATCTGAAGCTTGGAGTGCCATGAAGGCAAGCAACAGGTCTGTGCTTCACTGCTACATCCCCTGGGCCTGGGATATTCCCATCACAGAAGGCCCACAAACATCCTCTGTAACGTGCTCCTAAGATGCACTGGAAGATGGTAACTTAATCCACAATGAGCCAGCACTTCATACCTGTTAGGAGGGCTATAATCCAAACCAGATAACAACTGGGGTCGGTGAGGATGTGGGGAAACTGGAACCCACATACACTGCTGCTGGAGTCTCAAGTGGTGCAGCCACTCTGGAAGAGAGTCTGGCAGCTCCTCAAAAGGTTAAATATAGAGTTGCCATGTGACCCAGCAATTCCCCTCCTAGGTATCTACCCAAAAGAAATGAAAACATATGTCCACACAAAAACCTGTAGACAAACGTTCAAAGCAAAATCATTCATAATAGCCCAAAAGTGGAAGCAACCCATGTTACTCAGCTGATGAGTGGAGAAATGAAATGTGCTCTATCCAGACAATGGAATGTTATTTGGCCATGAAAAGGAATAAAGTACCAATCTATGGTATGACACGAACGAATCTGGAAGACATTACGCTAAGTGAATGAAGCCAGACACAAAAGTCCACAGGGGCTTCCCTGGTGGCGCAGTGGTTGAGAGTCCACCTGCCGATATAGGGGATGCGGGTTTGTGCCCCGGTCCAGGAAGATCCCACATGCCGCGGAGCGGCTGGGCCCGTGAGCCCTGGCCACTGAGCCTGCGCGTCCGGAGCCTGTACTCCCCAACGGGAGAGGCCACAACAGTGAGAGGCCCACGTACAGCAAAAAAAAAAAAGTCCACGGACTGTATGATTCCATTTACATGAAATGTCCAGAACAGGGAAATCTGCAGACACAAGAAAGTAGATTCGTGGTTGCCTAGGACTGGCAGACTTGGGGGGAAATGGGGAGTGACTGCCGTTCCGTACAAGGATTCTTTGGGGGCGATGAAAATGTTCTAGACATTCACAGAAAGACAGACAAGATGAAAAGGCAGAGGGCTATGTACCAGATGAAGGAACAAAATAAAACCCCAGAAAAACAACTAAATGAAGTGGAGATAGGCAACCTTCCAGAAAAATAATTCAGAATAATGATAGTGAAGATGATCCAGGACTTTGGAAAAAGAATGGAGGCAAAGATCGAGAAGATGCAAGAAATGTTTAACAAAGACCTAGAAGCATTAAAGAACAAACAGAGATGAACAATACAATAACTGAAATGAAAACTACACTAGAGGGAATCAATAGCAGAATAACTGAGGCCGGAGAACAGATAAGTGACCTGGAAGACAGAATGGTGGAATTCACTGCTGCAGAACAGAATAAAGAAAAAAGAATGAAAAGAAATGAAGACAGCCTAAGAAACATCTGGGACAACATTAAAGGCAACAACATTCGCATTATAGGGGACCTAGAAGGAGAAGAGAGAGAGAAAGGACCAGAGAAAATATTTGAAGAGATTATAGTTGAAACTTCCCTAACATGGTAAAGGAAATAGCCACCCAAGTCCAGGAAGCGCACCGAGTCCCATATAGGATAAACCCAAGCAGAAACACGCCAAGACACATAGTAATCAAATTGGCAAAAATTAAACACAAAGAAAAATTATTGAAAGCAGTAAGGGAAAAAGGAAAAATAACATACAAGGGAACTCCCATAAGGTTAACAGCTGATTTCTCAGCAGAAACTCTACAAGCCAGAAGGAAGTGGCATGATAAAGTGACGAAAGGGAAGAACCTACAACCAAGATTACTCTACCCAGCAAGGATCTCATTCAAATTCAACAGAGAAATTAAAAGCCTTACAGACAAGCAAAAGCTAACAGGATTCAGCACCACCAAACCATCTACAAAAAATGCTAAAGAAACTTCTCTAAGTCGGAAACAGAAGAGAAGAAAAGGACCTATGAAAACAAACCAAAACAGTTAAGAAAATGGTAATAGGAACATATATATCAATAATTACCTTAAATTTGAATGGATTAAATGCTTCAACCAAAAGACACAGGCTCGCAGAATGGATACAAAAGCAAGACCCATATATTTGCTGTCTACAAGAGACCCACTTCAGACCTAGACTGAAAGTGAGGGGATGGAAAAAGATATTCCATGCCAATGGAAATCAAAAGAAAGCTGGAGTAGGAATACTCATATCAGATAAAATAGACTTTAAAATAAAGAAGGTTACAAGAGACAAGGAAGGACACTACATAATGATCAAGGGATCAATCCAAGAAGAAGATATAACAATTATAAATATATATGCACCCAACACAGGAGCACCTCAATATATAAGGCAACTGCTAACAGCTATAAAAGAGGAAATCGACAGGAACACAATAATAGTGGGGGACTTTAACACCTCACTCACACCAATGGAGATCATCCAGACAGAAAATTAATAAGGAAACAGAAGCTTTAAATGACACAATAGACCAGATAGATTTAATTGATATTTATAGGACAGCAGATTACATCCAAAAACAGCAGATTACACTTTCTTCTCAAGTGCGCACGGAACATTCTCCAGGATAGGTCACATCTTGGGTCACAAATCAAGCTTCAGTAAATTTAAGAAAACTGAAATCATATCAAGCATCTTTTCTGACCACAAGGCTATGAGATTAGAAATGAATTACAGGGAAAAAAACGTAAAAAACACAAACACATGGAGGCTAAACAAGACGTTACTAAATAACCAAGAGATCACTGAAGAAATCAAAGAGGAAATCAAAAAATACCTAGAGACAAATGACAATGAAAACACGATGACCCAAAACCTATGGGATGCAGCAAAAGCAGTTCTAAGAGGGAAGTTTATAGCTATACAAGCCTACCTCAAGAAACAAGAAAAATCTCAAATAAACAATTTAACCTCAGCTAAAGGAACCAGAGAAAGAAGAACAAACAAAACCCAAAGTTAGAAGAAGGAAAGAAATCATAAAGATCAGAGCAGAAATAAATGAAATAGAAACAAAGAAAACAACAGCAAAGATCAATAAAACTAAAAGCTGGTTCTTTGAGAAGATAAACAAAATTGATAAACCATTAGCCAGACTCATCAAGAAAAAGAGGGAGAGGACTCAAATCAATAAATTTAGAAATGAAAAAGGAGAAGTTACAACAGACACCGCAGAAATACAAAGCATCCTAAGAGACTACTAAAAGCAACTCTATGCCAAAAAAATGGAAAACCTGAAAGAAATGGACAAATTCTTAGAAAGGTATAACCTTCCAAGACTGAACCAGGAAGAAACAGAAAATACGAACAGACCAATCACAAGTAATGACATTGAAACTGTGATTAAAAATCTTCCAACAAGACCTTCCCTGGTGGCGCAATGGTTGAGAGTCCACCTGCCGATGCAGGGGACATGGGTTCGTGCCCCGGTCCGGGAAGATCCCACATGCCACGGAGTGGCTGGGCCCGTAGGCCATGGCTGCTGAGCCTGCACGTCCGGAGCCTGTGCTCCGCAACGGGAGAGGCCGCGACAGTGAGAGGCCCGCGTACCGCAAAAAAAAAAAAGAAAAAAAAATCTTCCAACAAACAAAAGTCCAGGACCAGATGGCTTCACAGGTGAATTCTGTCAAACACTTAGAGAAGAGCTAACACCCATCCTTCTCAAACTCTTCCAAAAAATTGCAGAGGAAGGAACACTCCCAAACTCATTCTATGAGGCCACCATCACCCTGATACCAAAACCAGACAAAGATACTACAAAAAAAGAAAATTAGAGGCCAATATCACTGATGAATATAGATACAAAAATCGTCAACAAAATACTAGCAAACAGAATCCAACAACACATTAAAAGGATCATACACCATGATCAAGTGGGAGTTATCCCAGGGATGCAAGGATTCTTCAACATATGCAAATCAATCAATGTGATACACCACATTAACAAATTGAAGAATAAAAACCATATGATCATCTCAATAGATGCAGAAAAAGCTTTTGACAAAATTCAACGCCCATTTATGATAAAACTCTCCAGAAAGTGGGCATAGAGGGAACCTGCCTCAACATAATAAAGGCCATACACAACAAACCCACAGCAAACATCATTCTCAATGGTGAAACACTGAAAGCATTTCCTCTAAGATCAGGAATGAGACAAGGATGTCCACTCTCACCACTATTATTCAACATAGTTTTGGAAGTCCTAGCCACGGCAATCAGAGAAGAAAAAGAAATAAAAGGAATACAAATTGGAAAAGAAGAAGTAAAACTGTCACTGTTTGCAGATGACACGATACTATACATAGAGAATCCTAAAAATGCCACCAGAAAACTACTAGAGCTAATCAATGAATTTGGTAAAGTTGCAGGATACAAAATTAATGCACAGAAATCTCTTGCATTCCTATACACTAATGATGAAAAATCTGAAAGATAAATTAAGGAAACACTCCCATTTACCACTGCAACAAAAAGAATAAAATACCTAGGAGTAAACCTTCCTAGGGAGACAAAAGACCTGTATGCAGGAAACTATAAGACACTGATGAAAAAAATTAAAGATACCAACAGATGGAGAGATATACCATGTTCTTGGATTGGAAGAATCAATACTGTGAACATGACTGTACTATCCAAAGCAATCTACAGATTCAATGCAATCCCTATCAAACTACCAATGGCATTTTTTATGGAACTAGAACAAATCATCTTAAAATTTGTACGGAGACACAAAAGACCCCGAATAGCCAAAGCAGTCTTGAGGGAAAAAAATGGAGCTGGAGGAATCAGACTCCCTGACTTCAGACTATGCTACAGTAATCAAGACAATATGGCACTGGCACAAAAACAGAAATATAGATCAATGGAACAAGATAGAAAGCCCAGAGGTAAACCCAGGCACCTATGGTCACCTAATCTATGACAAAGGAGGCAAGGATATGCAATGGAGAAAAGACAATCTCTTCAATAAGTGGTGCTGGGAAAACTGGACAGCTACATGTAAAAGAATGAAATTAGAACACTCCCTAACACCATACACAAAAATAAACTCAAAATGGATTACAGACCTAAATGTAAGAGTGGACACTATAAAACTCTTAGAGGAAAACATAGGAAGAACACTCTTTGACATAAATCACAGTAAGATCTTTTTTGATCCACCTCCTAGAGTAATGGAAATAAAAACAAAAATAAACAAATGGGACCTAATGAAACTTAAAAGCTTTTGCACAGCAAAGGAAACAAGACAAAAAGACAACCCTCAGAATGGGAGAAAATATTTGCAAACGAATCAATGGACAAAGGATTAATCTCCAAAATATATAAACAGCTCATGCAGCTCAATATTAAAGAAACAAACAACCCAATCCAAAAATGGGCAGAAGACCTAAATAGACATTTCTCCAAAGAAGACATACAGGTGGCCAAGAAGCACATGAAAAGCTGCTCAACATCACTAATTATTAGAGAAATGCAAATCAAAACTACAATGAGGTATCACATCACACCAGTTAGAATGGGCATCATCAGAAAATCTACAAACAACAAATGCTGGAGAGGGTGTGGAGAAAAGGGAACCCTCTTGCACTGTTGGTGGGAATGTAAATTGATACAGCCAGTATGGAGAACAGTATGGAGGTTCCTTAAAAAACTAAAAATAGAATTACCATATGATCCAGCAATCCAACTACTAGGCATATACCCAGAGAAAACAATAATGCAAAAAGACACATGCACCCCAATGTTCATTGCAGCACTATTTACAACAGCCAGGTCATGGAAGCAACCTAAATGCCCACTGACAGAGGAATAGATAAAGAAGTTGTGGTACATATATACAATGCAATATTACTCAGCCATAAAAAGGAACGAAACTGAATCATTTGTTGAGACGTGGATGGATCTAGAGACTGTCATACAGAGTGAAGTAAGTCAGAAAGAGAAATACAAATATCGTATATTAACGCATGTATGTGGAACCTAGAACAATGGTACAGATGAACCGGTTTGCAGGGCAGAAGTTGAGACACAGATGTAGAGGACAAACGTATGGACATCAGGGGGTAAAACCGCAGTGGGGTGGGGATGGTGGTGTGCTGAATTGGGCGATTGGGATTGACATGTATACACTGATGTCTATAAAACTGATGACTAATAGGAACCTGTTGTATAAAAAGAAAAAAAACAACTAATACTAAACTTTCTTTGGGTTATTTGTATGGAAATATGTTAATATAAATGTTTCAGACATTACATGAAATTCCTAAAAATCTTATATGTTCTGGTATAATGTTGTAAGTCATAATTCCAGTTATTACTTTAAAATGTATATCTCAGAAATAACTAAGTTTCCTTGTCAATTGCATTATTATGAACTTTCATCAAATCTTTAACTGTGGTCATTTTTAAGTCTTTTGTCATTTACAGACAGTTCTGGGTGTACTCTGACGCTTTTGCAAAAATGTTCCTATAAAAGGGTTTCAGCTTCAAGGAATTCATGGAAAAGACTCTGACAAGTACAGGTTTCTGGTAACTGACTATACTGCTGAACTGAATGAATAAGCATTTTCAGAACTCTAATGGAAAACTGATGCATTCATAAAAGTGCTAACAAAAGATCAAGATGAAAATAATTACATGGGACTGAGTGAACTGATGAGGATGATTATAATTTTTGCGACTTTCTGTTTGAATGAAAAATAAATGTTAAAAAAAAAAGTTCTAAAATTCAATCGGGGTGATGCGGCACAACTCTGTGAATATCCTAAAAGCCACCGCATTGTACCCGTTAATGGGTACACCCCACGGAGTATGGATCATGTCTCACTAAAGCTGTTATTAAAAAACAGTAACATCTTTTCTTCTCAATCAGAAGGGATAAAAATCAACCCTATTTCTTCAGCATGATCAAGAGATCACTCTCAGTAAGAAAAATAAAGCCAAACAAAAGGCTTTAAAGAAAATACATACATCGTGCACATGAAATAGTGGGAAAGGATTTTCCAAGTGAAGTTTGAACCCTAGAGCTAGAAAAAGCCAAGTGGCAAGTGGCACTCGTAGTAGCCACGACGACGGTCAGGACAGACCCTGCAAGGTGAGAGCTCGGACGTCCCCCAACACCAGCCACGGGGCTCCCAGCCAGGACCCGCCCCTGCACCCACCTCCGACTGTTTCACCAGCAGCTCTGACCACTTCTGCCACAGGGGACACTTGTCCCTGTCCTCAAACGTGGTCTCATTGGAAGTCCAGCAGCACTGCTCGTGGCTGTACCAGAAGGCGGACAGGCAGATGCCCTCCTTCAGGTCTGTCATCCAGTCGACGGCGAGATCGATGACCCCGGCCAGGGTGCCTGGAAGAAGCAGCGAGAGCCACTCAGAAGGACGGCCGGCATAGGCCAGGGTAGCACGTGCGCCCGGAGGGCCAGGCGGAGATGCCCGTGCCCCGGGCTGCCACGCACCCAGGAACCCTCTTTCTTCAGTCTTGAGGTCACCTGAGCGAGTGGCAGGGCACCAGGTGTGGCAAAAGTGGTGCCCAGCCCAGTGAGACACAAAGGCCAATGATACGCTGTCCTCGGGGGGCTTCGATAGGGTGGGAGGGAGAGACCCGCAGCACTGAGCCCACCGCAAGCCCCTGGGGCCGAGCGGCTTTCAGAACCCAGCCCTTCCGAATCTTAGAAACAGGGTACCTACACCCTATAAATCACGTAACCCCCTCAGCGGCTTCTGGGGCAGGATGCTGGGATCACACACATGAATATCCTCCAGGAAACCTGACAATTCAGACAAAATGGAGACAAAACTATTTATAACAGCCTCGTCATTGAAATAAAGTTTTCCCATCAAATGGAATCCAGCTTGAAAAATCTTACTTGTTAGAACTTTCTGGATTTTTAAAAAATTACGGATAAAGGACTGAGGAGCTACATAAGTAAATAACTACTTTAAAGGCCGATAGGAGTGGGATAAAATCGAGTGTGCAGTGGGTCAGAGAAGGCCATTTTAGGTCTCTTTCTAGAATAACCCATTCCAGTCTTTTACGAAGGCAGGGAATACTTTTGCGCTACCAAACTTTTCACACTTTTACTAGATCCTTATTACAACATCAATTCCCCGAAGGCAGCCATATGCCAGCCTCAGGCGACCTGGCCTTGCCACTCTCCTGGTTCCATCAGCAGTCGCCCACTGTTCTAGCCAGAACACCCGAATCCTCAGCAGCGCACAGGCTCTGACCACCGTTCCCACATTTCTCTCCAGGCTCCTCTCTCTCCATCACGAATCCCACACCCTGCCCACACTGTGTTCCTTGGCACACCAGGCCCTCCTCTCTGCACCACCTCAGATAGCACTGTCCTCCCCCAACCCGCCAAGCTCCTATTTATCTTCCAGATGCTGGCATTTATATCACCTCCTTCAGGAAGCCTTCCCTGATTTCCTAAGTCTGGGCTAAGTATACTTCCCAGGCACTCCCCATCACCATACCTATCACATCCTGATGTGATCAGTATTTATATATATGTGTATACACACACACACACACACACCCCTCACATGCACACACACACACTCCAACTAGTCTATAAGGGTGGGGGGAGTCTCTTGTCTGGTTTGTGTGCCACGGTGGGGATCGAGCCAGGTGTCTAGACCCTGTGTCCCCTTTAAGTGGGCAAGGGCGATTGTATTCACGTCAGGTACATAGCTGGAACTATATATCCATGTTGAATGAATGAGAGCAACAAACGAATGAAAATCAGGAAACTCAGGTCCATCCATTCACTCAAGGGCTATTTATTGAGCACCTACGTACTACGTGCCACGTACTGTTCCACACCCTGGGGTACAGCAGTGAACAAAGCAAACTCAGGTCCCTGCCTTCGTGGAATCTCAGCTTGTACGAGAAGACACTAGATTGAATAAGTAAGTAAATGAGGGGCTCCAACAGAAGGTGGTAGGTGCTAGAGAGGAGAATACAGCACGTTCCAATGGCAGCCATTTCCTACAATGGTGCAGGAGAACAGTCGGACACGTCCTCAAAAAGTTAAACAAGGGGGTTTCCCTGGTGGCGCAGTGGTTGAGAGTCCGCCTGCCGACACAGGGGACACGGGTTCGCGCCCCGGTCCGGGAAGATCCCACATGCCACAGAGCGGCTGGGCCCGTGAGCCATGGCCGCTGAGCCTGCGCGTCCGGAGCCTGTTCTCCACAACGGGAGAGGCCACAACAGTGAGAGGCCCGCGTATTACAAAAAAAAAAAAAAAAAAAATTAAACAAGGAGTCACCACCTGACCAAACACTTCCATTCCTAGGCATCTGCCCACGAGAAATGAAAACATACACCCAACACAAGACATGTATGCAAATGTTCACAACTGCATATTCACAGAAGCCAAAGAGTGGAAACAACCCATATGCCCATCAATTGCTGAATGGAGAAACAAAATGTGGTCCACCTACAATGGCAACCAAAAGGAATGAAGCGCTGACACATGCGACAGCATGGATGAACCTTGGAAACGTTATGCTGTAAAAGAAGCCAGTCACAAAAGACCATATATTGTATGCTTCCATTTTATGAAATGTCCAGAGTAGGCAAATTTACAGAGACAGCAAGTAGATTAGCGGTTGCCCAGGACTGAGCGGAGGCTAGGGACACTGGGGCTGATAGCTAAAGGGTAGGAAGGTTCTTTGGGAGCTGATGAAAATGTTCTAAAATTGGCCTTGGTGATGTTGCAAAACTCTGTGAATACACTAAAAACCACCAAGTTGTACACTTTAACTAGGTGAACTGTATGGTATGTGAGTTATATCTCAATAAAGCTGTTACGTACACACACACATACATACATATAGTGGGCGAGGGTGACGAGGCTCAGAGAGGGAGACGTGCTTTTAGAAAAGGTGGTCAGAGAACACCTCAAGCAGAAGATGACATTGGAACAAAAACTGCCTTGTGTGGAACAACAGCGACACCCAGTGGTGGCTCCTGGTTAACGCCCTGCAGAGGAGCCGCAGCTTGGGCGTCGGAATATAATGTCTGGGCTGCCAATACGGAGGTGACTGGCAAGATAGTGGGACCCCTGGGGCTCGCCACTGGGGAACGGGAAGGTGAATGGGGCAGTTTTCTGGCTTTTCCTTCATCCAGATCAAAAGAACACTTTCGCCACCTTCACTGCCAAGATCATCTTTTTCTTGCCTCCCTCCTATATTCATCTGCTGATGTGACCATGGGATCGCCCTTCTCCAGCAGTCCTCACCCCTGGCTGCATATTAAAATCACAGGGGAAAGGGGGCTTTACTCAATGCTAGGGTGTCATCTCCAGGGAGCTACTATTTAATTGAAGCCTGGGCAGCAGCATTTTTTTTTAATTCCCCAGGTGATTCTTCCTGAAAGAACTGATGGAAATCGGATTAACAGTGAAGCCCAATGGTCGGTATCTGACTTGTTAAAGACAGCCCGACAGGGCTCTGAGATCAGTTGATAAATCTATACTGTGTGACTCCAGCAGGAAGCCAAGACATCTACTCTGATTCCTTCATTTCCCGTATTCATCCCTCCTTCCCAGAAGCCAAGAATAACACAGGGTACAGTTTTATAAATCTATTCTAAAGAAAGACATCAAAGTTCGCAGCAAACTACCCTCTCCGCCCTCTCCCCCCCACCTACCTTTAAAGGACTTCATAGAGCCTAATGAATGGGTGGCAAAACGCCATATGTCCATGAACTCGAATTCCCTCCCAGCACTGCTGCCAATATATACCGGGAGCGCCACTGGGAGGGGAAGGACAGGATGGGCGGAATGGGTGGGTAGCTGCTGTGGCCGGAAGGAGAGGACTGCCCCTTCAGCACTCTCCTGGGCCCTTTAGGACATGCCAGGCAGAGGGAGCCCCTCCCCGCCAACCAGGCCCCTCTTACCATTGTAGATGTAACGAGTGACAGGGCAGCCAGAAATCAAAGTCCTCTAATCACAAAATTTTACCCTATGCCCCGCAGGTGCTCTGCGAGTACGTACTATATTCAACCTGTATCACACAGCCATTCTCTGATCAGTCCTATAAGCAGAACTAGCGTGTTACTACAGGCAGGGGGAGTTTCTTAAGGGAATCTCTTCAGCATGATCAAATTTTTTTCTCCTTAGACATTAACCTTCACAGCCTCCTAAAAGGAAGTAAGTTTCAGGAAACAATTTCCATGGAGGGCTGTGCATTTGCTATTAAAAGGGGAGGTGTCCCCTCCAGATACTCATTCATTCATTCTGGAAACAGCAACTGCTCACAAACATGGTGTTGGGATTATAAAAATGAAGGACACGGAGTCGCTGAGGGTCAGAACAACCCATGGGCTGGAGGTACCTCCCCCGGGCCTTCCTCAGACCCTGTGGTGTCTCACGTTACTGTGAGCGTCTCTCGATGTTTACAATTCATCTCAGGGCCTGCCGGTGTTAGTAAAGGCCAGTCTCATATGATGTTTTATTTTTAGAGATCAACATGTTCCCGTCCTTTCTCACCTTCTACGTGGCCAAGTACTATAGAATGTGAAATGTGTGTTTTCAATAAAATCCAGCATGGCGGTAAACCTTTCTACAGTGTGGAAAGGGCCAACCCACCTTCTCGGTACCGCGCTCCAATGACCATACCTGGGCCTGTCTGTGCCTTGGGGTCTTTTTGCTTTACTGATGATAGATTTATGTTAAGTGTATCGTCATGTATTGTGCCCTTAGGTATTTCAAGTAACAGCCCCTTTGCCTGAAGTACAAGAGAAACACTCCACGTACCTGCCAGCAGGCCGATGAGCAGCATCACCGCCCATCCCGACCAGGCGTCCAGCAAGCTCTTGATGAACTCCCATATGGACTCCTTGCTTTTGCTGGTTATCTAGAAGCAGAAAGACATCGGAGCTGATGTGGATACACTTTCCAATTCAGGCTTCCTTCTCTGAAACTGTTTCCTCAGGAAACACGGTGATTGAGAAAACGAATATAATGAAGCAACTAGACTGCCGCTAACGTGGCTCTTGCAGTTACCTAGCACAGTGGTTAAATGGGCTTTCTAGTTCACAGAGCTAGAAAGATGCCATGGTAGTCTCCAAAGAATCCAAAAAAGTTCACTTACTTAAAAAAACCTCACTAAGTGTGATGTGATCTTTGATTATTTCAAAGCCATTCTGAAGGAAGACATCACTTCGGTGTCACCGTTTTGAATACAAATCATTTTAGCCTAAATCGTAAGGTCTGTTCACAAAGACCCTCTTCGACAAAGACTTCAATTCCTTCTTTCATTTTCCAGGCTACATGTTAACAACAAGAACGAACTTAATTTCTTTCTCTTCCTTCCTTCCTCTCTCCCTCCCTCCCTCCCTCCTTTCTTTCCTTCCTTCCTTCCTTTATGGCTGCGTTGGGTCTTCATTGCTGTGCGCAGGCTTTCTCTAGATGTGGCGAGCAGGGGCTACTCTTCGTTGCGGTGCGCGGGCTTCTCATTGCGGTGGCTTCTCTTGTTGCGGAGCACAGGCTCTAGGCGTGCGGGCTTCAGTAGTTGTGGCTCGCGGGCTCTAGAGCGCAGGCTCAGTAGCTGTGGCACACGGGCTTAGTTGCTCCGTGGCATGTGGGATCTTCGCAGACCAGGGCTCAAACCCATGTCCCCTGCATTGGCAGGTGGATTCTTAACCACTGCGCCACCAGGGAAGTCCCAAGAACTTACTTTTTTTTTTTTTTTGCGGTACGTGGGCCTCTCACTGCTGTGGCCTCTCCCGTTGCAGAGCACAGGCTCTGGACACGCAGGCTCAGCGGCCATGGCTCACGGGCCCAGCCGTTCTGCGGCATGTGCGATCCTCCCGGACCGGGGCACGAACCCGCGTCCCCTGCATTGGCAGGCGGACCCCCAACCACTGCGCCACCAGGGAAGCCCCGAACTTTCTTTTTTTAATTGAAGTATAGTTGATTTACAATGTTAATTTCAGGTGTACAGCAAAGTGATTTAGTTATACCTATATATATATATCCTTTTTCAGATTCTTTTCCATTATAGGTTATTACAAAATATTAAATATAGTTCCCTGTGCTATACAGTAGGACCTTGTTGTTTATCTACTTTATATATAATAGTGTGTATCTGTTAGTCCGAACTCCTAATTTATCCCTCCCCCACCCTCTTTCCCCTTTGGTAACCATAAATTGGTTTTCTATGTCTGTGAGTGTATTTCTGTTTTGTAAATAAGTCCACTTGTACCACTTTTTTAGATTCCACATATAAGCAATATCATATGATATTTGTCTTTCTCTGACTTACTTCACTCAGTATGATAATCTCTAGGCCCATCCATGTTGCTGCAAATGGCATTATTTCATTCTTTTTTATGGCTGAGTAATATTCCATTGTATATATGTACCACACCTTCTTTATCCATTCATCTGTCGATGGACACTTAGGTTGCTTCCATGTCTTGGCTATTGTGAATGGTGCTGTTAGCTTTGTGCAGTGACAGTATCATAGCCAATGAGGTTTATCTGAGGCGTGATTACTGCTAATTGTAAATAGTGCTGCTATGAACATTGGGGTGCATGTATCTTTTTGAGTTAGAGTTTTCTCTGGATACATACCCAGGAGTGGGATTGCTGGATCACATGATAACTCTAATTTCAGTTTTTTAAGGAACCACCATACTGGTCTCCATAGTGGCTGTATCAATTTACATTCCCACCAACAGTGTAGGAGGGTTCCCTTTTCTCCACACTCTCTCCAGCATTGCTGTTTGTAGCTTTTTTGATGACAGCCATTCTGACCGGTGTGCGGTAATACCTCATTGTAGTTTTGATTAACAGCAAGAAGGCTGAAGGAGCCAGCCTGGATCACGCTTTCCAGGCAGATGGTTACATCTAAACACATCGTAAGAGCACCCCTTTGCCTCCCTGTGTTAACAGAATCCTACATTCCTGAGACCATCATTCCCCTCATAACCCTTTAGAGCAAGGGTTGGCAAACATTTTCCATAAAGAGACAGAAAGTAAATATTTTCGGTTCGGCAGGTCAGTTGGTCTCCGTGGCAACTACCGGACTCTGCTGTTGTAGCACAGAAGGAGCCATATAGAGCATGGCAGTGCACCTCTCTTGTATCCTGTGGCCATGAAAAGGAAATCCAGGGCTTTCTCAGTGGCGCAGTGGTTGAGAATCCACCTGCCACTGCAGGGGACACGGGTTTGATCCCAGTCCAGGAAGATCCCACATGCTGCAGAGCAGCTAAGCCCGTGTGCCACAACTACTGAGCCTGTGCTCTAGAGCCCGCACGCCACAACTACTGAAGCCCGCATGCCTGGAGCCCGTGCTCTGTAACAAGAGAAGCCACCGCAATGAGAAGCCAGCGCACCACAACAAAGAGTAGCCCCCACCCTCCGCAACTAGAGAAAGCCCACACGCAGCAGTGAAGAACCAACACAGCCAAAACCAAACAAATAAATAAATAAATAAGTAAATAGGAAATCCAGGGACTTCCCTGGTGGTCCAGCAGTGGAGAGTCCACCTTACAGTGCAGGGGCCACAGGTTCGATCCCTGGTCAGGAAACTAAGATACCAAATGCCGCGGGGCAACTAAGCCCACGCACCACAACTACTGAGCTCGTGCGCCTCAACTAGAGAGCCCACGTGCCATAAACTACAGAGCCCACACGCCCTGGAGCCCGTGTGCCACAACTACAGACCACAACTACAGAGCCCACGCACCCTGGAGCCCGTGTGCCACAACTACAGACCACAACTACAGAGCCCACGCGCCCTGGAGCCTGTGTGCCACAACTACAGACCACAACTACAGAGCCCACGCACCCTGGAGCCTGTGAGCCACAAGTAGAGAGAGAAAACCCGCCCACCACAACTAGAGAGAAGCCCACGCGCCACAACGAAAAGATCCCGCATGTCTCAACGAAGATCCCGTGTGCTGCTGCTAAGACCCACCGCAGCCAAAAATAAATAAATAAATAAAATTTTAAAATAATAAAATAAATCTTAAAAAAAAAAAAGGAAATCTAAACTCCTCTTCATGGTCTACTCAGTGGTTCCCAATGTGGCCCCATCGCCCACGTGGCCAGACTCATCTCTAGTCCTCCCCTTCCGTGAATCTGCCACCAAACCTTAGAGCTCCTTGAACTGCCTAAATGTGCCACGGTCTTTCATGCCTCTGTGACCTAAAAAAGCCACTCCTGATGAGAATCCTTTCCCCTTCCTCTGCCTGGCAAATTCTTAGTCATCCTTCAAGACCCCACTGAAATCGCACCCCCTCTAAAAACTCCCTCCCTAACCATCCCTCCTAAATGATCCCACAGCACTTGATACATAACCTTACTGCAGCCCATAAAAATATATATTGACTGCCTACGAGAGGCCAGGCACTGTAATATGTGCTTTCATACGCATAGAGCCCCATTTAATCTTCTGGTATAATTAACTCCATCCTTACAGATGAGAAGATGGGGTCCAGAAATGGCACCCCAAAAGTCAGCCAGCCTAAAGATGTCAAAGTCAGGATGTACCCAATCTGTCTGGTTCCAGAGCCCCACTCCTTGCCCTCCACACCACAACTCTGTATGACATAGCCTTCCACCCAAAGCACCTGGTATTAGAATTACCTGTCCACATCTCTGCCTCTCCCACTAGCCCTTCTCTTCTCTAGAACCTAGCTCAGCACACGACACATGAACCCAAGCTCTAGCTCAGTGACTGTCCGATAGAAGCATGGCCCAGCCCTCCGAAGGGATTCCCCTCACAGTGTCCTTATGAACAGCATGTACCTTTCTGTGTCTGTCGGTGTCCCGTGACTTCTCCCTCAGCCAGTCGATGGTGTGGAAGTCCTCATACGTCCCCACATCAGGGAACGGCTCGTCAAGGAAATCCATCAGGTTTCCAGAGCCACTCATCGCTCCTGCATTGACCATGCTACTTACACCTGGGAGAGAAAACCTGTCGTTAAAAACGTGAGCAGAACATCTGCACAGACCTGGCAGAACAATCCACATGTGCTATTTTTTTGCACAGGAAAGACATTTCAGCGTAGGCACTTCTGCTGTGATGAAAGATACATACAGTCTGTCTTAGTGAGCACAGGCTGCTGTAACAAAAATACCACAGACTGGGTGGCTCATCAACAACACACATTTATTTCTCACAGTTCCGGAGGCTGTGAAGTCCAAGATCAAGGCACTTACTTAGAGATTCAGTGTCTGGTGAGAGCCCACTTCCTGTTCACAGATGGCCATCTACTCACCGTGTCCTCATCTGGTGGAGCTCTCTGGGGTCTCTTTTATAAGGTCACTAATCCCATCCATGAGGACTCAGCTTTCATGACCTCATCACCTCCCAAAGGCCCCTCCTCCCAACACCATCACATTGGGGATTAGGTTTCAACATATGAATTTTGGGGAGACACAAACGTTAATTTCTTTTTTTTTAACTTTTTATTTTATATTGGAGTATAGTTGATTAACAATGTTGTGATAGTTTCAGGTGTACGGCAAAATGATTCAGTTATACATATACATGTACCTTTTTCCAATTCTTTTCCCATTTAGGTTGTTACAGGATATTGAGTAGAGTTCCCTGTGCTACACAGTAGGTCCTTGTTGGTTACCTATTTTAAATTCAGCAGGTGTACATGTCAATCCCCAACTCCCTAACTATCCCCTTCCTCCACCCTTCCCCTCAGTAACCGTAAGTTCATTCTCTAAATCTGTGAGTCTGTTTCTGACAAATGTTACTTTCTTATTATTTGTGGTAGTTTTGTGCTATAAAGTCACCATGGCCACCGAATTAGTGAGTACTAAATCACTGTCCCCAAGAGAAATACAGGGTTAGGTTCCTTCGAGCCTCTGGTCACAACATCTTCAGCAACCAATCAATATACAACCTTGTTTTGTGTGTTTCTGTTTAAAGACACCTTATCAAATATATATCGTTGGTTCATCCACTGAACTCACAGCCAACAGCACTGTCACTCACGTTGCAGGAAGTTTGTCTAACAAACATATTTTCTCCATGAGGCCCAGCACAGCCTTCTCGTGCTTAGAAACACTACAGACACTCCTGCCCTGCATTTCAAGGCCACTGGAAACAGCAAAATTACCAATAAAAAAACCACAAAAATGCGAAAAATATGGCACTAAAGAGACTGTGAAAAGAACACTTGTTTCTGGTCTGGGCACTGAAACAAGACGGCAGAGCACCAATTTCTCCAACCTCAGCTGGGATCGTGCATTCCTGGCAACTCAAACTTTTTGAGGCTCTGCACGTGCACTGACCAGGCAAGTGCCCCATGTATTGCCCTGGATGTTACAAATACATTTTAGTGAGCAGGCAAATTCACAAATACAGAACCGCTCATAATGAGGGTCAACTATAACCATTTCTAGAAAACCTCACGTTCTGCAAAAGCAGGGCATCAACATGAGAGGCCTGGGGGAAACAGGGTTGAGGCATACCACTCAAAACCAAATCACTGTAGTCAATCCAGTAACCGGTTCTCCTGGGAGATAAAGTGGACCACTGAGGTAGACAACCTCTGCGGATACTCGAGACGTACAGCAACAGCAGAGTGAAAATGCTAAGACTTAACTCACTGGTGGGAGCCAAGGTGATCCACAGAGGGAGTGGTCCTCTGCACCAGGGCTGGGGGGGGGATGCCATAGGGATGACAAGGAGGCAGGACAACCTGCCACGTGAGCCATGCTATGGTCTGAACGTGTGTGTCTCCCCACCCAAATTCATACATTGAAAGCCTAACCCCCAAAGGATGGTATTAGAAGGTGGGGTCTTTGGGAGGTGATTGGGTCATAAGGGCAGTACCTTCAAGAATGGGACTAGTGCCCTTATAAAAGAGGCCCCAGGGAGCTCCTCTGCCCCTTCCACCATGTAAGGACACAACAGGAAATCTGTGACTGGAAAAAGAACCATCACCTGACCATGCTGGCACCCTGATCTCAGACTGCCAGCCTCTGTTGTTTCTAAGCCACCCAGTCTATGGTATTTCGTTATAGCAGCCCGAACAGACTAAGACAAACCATACCAGGCTGGCAGCACACTGCCCCCGGCAAGCAGCCCTGAGTGCAGGCCCTCACTTCTAATTTTCCTTAAAATACAGTCAAAAGGGTGCCTGCTACCAGGGCAGTAGCAAAGTGGAGGATTTCTTCCTTTCCTGCCTAAGATAATAATTCCGCTCCTATTATTCCGCCTCCCATTGTCTGGAAAACAATCCCAAATAAACCAAGTCATCTTCCATGTTACACCACCATCAGAACCTGATTGACAGATCACACAGGAAATAATCAGACACAGAGAAAACGCTTTGCAGCAGGACCAGTGCTCACCACCAGTTAGCAAGAAAAATAATACACTCTTACAAAGACAAGAGGTTGGAATAGGCACTAAATCAAAATTTCTTTGGCAAAGAGCATGGAAATTTGAATTATACGACGGGAACCACAAAAGTGCCGGAATAAGATGGTTAAAGAAGTGAAGGGTAGTTATTAAAATATTTGAGCACAGGCTTCTCTCAATTGCTTTATGTATTTTTATATCTGGAGGACTCAACCACGACCTGACAAAACTGCATTTTGATCAAATTGAAAAGTCGCTACAGGCAAAGTGGAGTAATCACCTTACAAGCAATAAAATGGCGATAGTTATTGATTTATTGACTGTCTGTGCAACTTTGCTACTTTAAAACTTAAAAAGTTTGAAGTCTGAGCCATGCCAAGCTGAAAACTATACCCACTGATGAATGCCCAAGGAAGAATCATATTGCAGAAGTCAGTAGCAACCAATTAATAAAAGGGAAGGAATAAAATTAGAAAGCAAAGATTTCATTTTCATTTCTAGAAACGCAAGACGGTAATAGCCTTGTATTATATGTGGTAAAGAAAATCTCTGATGGGAAAAAGAAGATGGCAGGCTGCTGACCCACAATGGGTAGCCCGTGTAAGAAACACCAAGCCAGCAGATCGAAGAATTGCAGACACTTGGACATTCTATTAAAAAGAAGTTCATGTTACCTGAAATTTAACCAAATCTCTAGTCAAGCAACAACTCCAGGCAATAATGACTGAAACAAAAAGTCACTCTGGAGAACAAATGTATCCTTAAACTTTGGTGGAGCATGTCATGGTCCTGACGATCAGACGCATAACTGGTAAAGGAAAATAAACATGATTTAATCCGTAGATCTAATTGGAGGCTTTCCCTGGGGGCCCAGAAGGAGGTGGTGACTTTGCTTCTGAAGCTCGGATTAAGAAAGACAGGAGGACCAGAAGTGTAAGAAGAGGGCACCCAGGTCAGAAATAATGGAAAGAGGGAATTCCCTGGTGGTCCAGTGGCTAGGACTCTGCACTTTCACTGCTGAGGGCAGGGGTTCGAACCCTGGTCAAGGAAGTAGGATCCCGCAAGCTGTGCAGCATGGCCAAAAAATTTAAGAAAAGAAAATAAAAATGGAAAGAATTCTATCTGGGATCCCCTGGGAGATATAGATGGATAGGAAATGAGAATCCAGCCAAACACAGGAACAAAATGGAATGAACTCCAGGGACTTGATGAGAAATAAACTTAACCTGTGTAAGTTCAATACGGCACCCAAAGGGATGCAAAGACTGCTGAGCCCTGAACAACACAGGTTTGAACTGGGTGGGTCCACTTATACGTGGATTTAGTTCGATAAATATCATACCTGTATTTTCGTTTTACAGATCTTTACCTACGTGAGGGGAAAAGTTTGTGCTCGATTAGAGAGCCCAATATGTAGAATCACAAGAACTAGGGTTTGAGTCTTGATTCTATCCAGACTGTTTCAGCTTCCTGCCCTTGGGTGAGTCATTCATCAATTCCTTTGGTTTTGAGGCAGTGAGAGCAGGATGCGGCTTTTCGACTGTGCTGGGGGTCAGTGTCCCTAACTCCCACGTTGTTCAAGGGTCAACTATAGTCATCTGCACCTTAGAGGGGAGCCCTTGCTCCTCTCACCTGGTTTTATTTCTTCTCGCCAATAAGAGCACTTCTGCTGGCAGATGACACCTCTGCTTATGATTTCAGGAAGGACAGCATCCTAGATCCTGCATCTGAGATTCCTACTTGGTCTGGATCGTCGAGGTCAGAGCACAGCAAACTGCAGGCTGTGGGCTAAATCCGGCGTGCTGCCTGGCTTTGTAAATAAGTTCTAGAGGAACACAGCCATGCCCACTCCACATATTGTCTATGGCTGCTTTCACATCGCAACGGCACAGTTGAGTAGTTATGACAAAGGCCAAATGGCCCCCAAAGCCTCAAATGTTTACTATTCGGCCATTTACAGAAAACGTTTGCTGACTCCCGATCTACACGGTGGACTGAACACAGAACCAGCTCAGATTCTCTACCTGTCCCTGCATCTACAGCATTTTCAGTGGGACCTTGTGGCTCCTCTTCATTAAGAGGTAGAGTCTATTTCTCCAGCTCTTGAATCAGGGCTGGGCCTTGGGACATGCAGTGGAAGTGACAGCATGCATGTACTGAGTCTAGACCCCAAAGGCGACGCGGCCTCTGCTTTCTTCCTTGGCCTTCTGCCATGAGCAGAAACCTAGGCTACATGCTGGAAGATGAGCGACCACATGGAGTCAAGGTGGGTCATCTCAACTGAGGCCATCCTAGATCATCCAGGCTCACCAAGCACAGATTCATGAGTGAGCCCAGCCAAGAGCAGCTGGCTTTGACCCAATCAAACCACCCAGCTGACCTGCAGACCGTGAGAAAAATGAATGGTTATTGTTTTAAGCCACCAGGTGTTTCTGAAAGGGTTGTCATGTAGCAGCATCATAACAATGTTTAACAGGTATGATTTACGTGGGCTCCAAGGGAGAGAAGAAATGAAGATGCTAAGTTAGTTACAAGGGAGGACAACTAACTAAGTTAGTTGCAGCAACAGATAACACA